CTAGAGGGAGCTAGAGACCCACCAGTTCCTTCTCAGGTGGCTCCAGCCTAGATGACTATCAGAACATCCCCCTGGGACTAGGAGTTCAGACAGATGAGATTGTGGGAAGAGCGTTTCCACATTTGCAAGGCGCCTGTCCTGCTCCGGAGCCCATCCGGTCCCCATTATTCTGTCTAGAATCCTTTACTTCTTCCTGGCCCCCCAGGGCCCACTGGAAAGAGAAGGAGAGCACCGCTCTGGGCTGGATTACCTTCCTTGATTCAGAGCTTCCCTCTGGGGAAATGAGGGGTCTTTCACCTCCCCGGCACACTCTCGGGGTGCCTTGAGAGCCTCTACCAGGGAGTTTAAGCTGCGATAAACGGCCTCCCTCACTCCCACCCGTTGCATAAGTAAGGGGTGCAGGAGGGGTCGGGGAGCAGGGTAGGAGGAAGTGTTCCAGGCTGTACCGCAGCCTCTGAGACGCCTCAAGGCTGGAAGGGCTGGCGGCTCAGAGCAGGAGCCAGGAGACAGAGTGGCTGGAGCTGGGGTGGTGGAGGGGGCAGGGGAGGGGGGTCTCTTTGATGGGCTCCGCAGGCTCGATCTCCCCAGATTTCTCCATTACGCAGCTGTGGACAGAGGCTGCCCCTCCCTGAGGCTGGGGGAGGGACAGAATGGGGTGCCCGGCCAATGTTCACCCACTCCTACTAACCCTCAGGGGAGAGTCTGGCTTTGTGAGGCGCTGACTCCTCCATGGGTTCCAAGGTGGGCAAAGACCATGCCCATCCCCCACCAGTTACAGGGTCAGGCTGGGAATATATGAGCCGTCTGGGCTGAGGAGAGTTTGGCTCTGGGTTCCTCAGAGAGTCGCTTCCCCCGCTCCTAGAAGACCCTCCCAAAGGCTCCCTCCCCGAGTCGGGGGCCTGGACCCGGGAGCCTCAGCCCCGGGAGCTGCTGTACCCCTTTGGGCCACACGGGGGCACCAGTCTCAGGCGGATGCTGTGCAGCTCGTGACTGGAGAGACCACAGACTCCCAGGCCTTGACCAGCTGAGCCGGAGTCAAACCGGCCCTGAGGTCCATCCTTCCTGGCACTGGCCAGCTGGGAGCTTCATAAACCCCCTTTCCTGCCTCACCCAGTGTGAGCGAGGTGTGTCCTTGCAAAGGAAAGCCTCCTGCTAAGTTTAGGGTGCTTCTCAGGATCGTGTTCCCCAGTCTCTCCTGACCCCACCCCAACCCCCTACCCCGGCGCCCCCTACTGGGCTAGGCCAGGGCTGCAGACAGGAAGGAAGCACCTCTGGACCTCACAGAGAGGGGCAGGCAACTCAGCAGCAGGGTGCTAAGTGCTCGAGTCAACCCGTGCCAAGGGTGTTAAGAGAGCGCATACTCAGGTGTGTGGGCCTGGGGTGCGAGCCACAAAACGCTAAGCAGGAGCAGTGTTTGAACCCAGCCCAGGTTACGCAGGTAAACAAGGGGCTCCAGGCTGCAGGACCAAGGGTGCCCAGGCGTGCAGGCAGGAAGAGTCGACACAGGCAGGGGGCTGCGGGAAGCTGGGGTGGCTAGAGCGGAGGGTGCGTGCGGGGACAAGACGGGAGGGGCAGCTGGACAGGTGCATCCAGACAGGGTGGAGGTGTAAACTGGGTTAAGGAGACTGGACCCTATCCGGAGGGAGCTGGACGACCCCGGAGGTTTGAGGCAGTAATGTGAGCTCAGAGCAACACTGTCCAGTAGAATTTTCTGCAGTGATGGAAATGCTCTGCATCTGCACTGTCCAAAATGGAAGCCACTAGCCACAGGTGGCTATTGAGTACTTGAAAGGTGGCCACTAAGACTGAGGAACTGAATTTTTTAATTTAATTTAATTTTAATTAATTTCCATTTAAACAGTCACAGGTGGCTAGTGGCTACGATACTGGACAGCACAGCTCTGGAGGAAGGACGGGAAGGGGGATGACTGGAGGCAGGGATGCCTGTGGAAATGGTCCAGGTAAGCGAGGAGGGGGGCCTGAAGACAATGGCAGAGAAACGCAGAGGATGGCATGGATGTGGAGATGGTTAACAACTAGAAGCAGGAAGTAGTCTGGTGATGAAGTGGGGGGCCCTCGGAGGACTCCCCCAGGGACCTGGGTGATTGGATGCTTGCTGAGTCATCACTGAGAACAGGAACCCAGGACAATAGGCATGGAAGATATAACAAGGTCAGTTTTGGACGTGCAGAAATTGACATGCCTTGGGACATCCAGGTGGAGGCATGTGGCAGCCCATGGGTCAGCTTAGGCCACAGATGGACTTTGAATTGTCTTGCATCATCTTTTTTTAATGGAACCTACATTTTAAAATCAGTTGAATTTACATAAAAGTCTAGATTTCCAACTCCTCTTGAAAAACCAGAAGATCTGACACCATCGGGACTGAATTCCCTCAGGCAAGAGTCACCTGGGGTCCCTCCCTTATAGGGGTCCCGCCTATCCCTGTGGACAGCATGTGGACCACCCCGATAGTATATTTGGTGTTGCAGTAGACTGTTTCAAAGGAGACTCCCAACCCCCACCTCCCCATCCCTCAGGCCCGTTTCCAATGACTTTGCACTCCACTCATCAAGAGGTGCCACCTCTGTCCCCTTGAATCTGGGCTGACCTTGTGACTTGCTTTGACCAAAGGCAGCAGAGGTGACACTGATTGATTTCTTAGGACCCAGCACCATGTTAAGACCCTCAGGCTAGACTACGGAATGAGAGACCAAGAGGCGAGAAAGACACCCAGCCAGTCCCCACCCCATCTGAGGCACCAATTGTGGGCGCCAAGGTGTCCTGGCTCCTCCAACCCCAGGGGAGCTGCCCGGCGCCCCCCTCGGAGCCCTGCCCACCTGCAGAAGCAGGAGCACATAGCAAACCAATGGTGGTGTTTCAAGCCACCACAATTTGGGGTGGTTCGTCGTGCAGCAATAGAAAACTGAAACAGTCGTCAAAAATGTGGGATGCACAAGGTTACCCAGAGAAAGAGAGAGTGAAGACAATGCAGGGCAGAGCCTAGGGTGAGACAGAGAGGCCGTCCTGCAAGGGCAGGGCCAGATTCTCTCTTTACAGCTTTGAGACTTGTCCATCGTGTATTTTCCGCATTAACTTTGATTTCTTAAAATATCGTGCTAAAATAGTCCTAATCTTGATTCCTGAGTGTTTTGTGCTCAAGGCAAGGACCTCACTGGACTCGCCTGTGTCTCGGCCTTGGAAGAGGGAGCACACACTAACCCCGCGGGCACCTGAACCCACGGACACCCAGGGAGCTGAGATCAGGAGCCCTGTGGAGGCCAGGAGGCCTGGGAGCCTCAGAGGCCAGCAGGTGAGGGGTAAATCCTTCAGGCCCCGGGAGGGAGGAGCATCTGAAGAAAGAGTCGGCACCCAGCACCTCTGGAGGCCAGGCCATGACGTGACCAGCCCCACGGGGGTGGCGGGACACAGGTGACCTGGATGTGCGAGGGAGAGGCCCCTCTGAGGGAAACTGAACTCAAGAGGAAAGAAGTTTTGTGAGAAATTTTCAAGTTAAATTCTTCCCAAAGGGTTACTTACTTTTTAATAATAAAATAGTTCCATAAAGAATCTGCTCATTGCCATCATTTTAGTCCAGCCCCAGAGCCAACTGGACCACCTCCCGCCATAACCACAGGGGCCGGAATTACGACTCAGAAACTAAAGCGCAGCCTGTATAGCCCACTCAGACACACCGAGGCGAGCTCAGATGCGGCTGGGGAAACACGCCCAACCTCCCAGCCAGCGCCACCAGCTTCCCCGCAGCCGCCCCGCTGGCCTCCCGGCTCCTCGGCTTGGCCTCCGGTCCCTGCTCTGCAGCCAACAGCCCAGGCCACTGACCCCAGTCTCTGGGTCAGTGCATTTCAGGCAACAAGGTCGCTGACCCACTGTAGAGATAGGTCAAACCAAAGCACACAAAATAGCCCTTGGAGGAACGGGCTTTCTTGCTGGTGACAGCCTCGCTGAAGGAGACCCAGCCAGCATTCATGGCGTGGCATCCGTCGCGTGGCAGGAACCACAGAGCACAGTGAACGCTGGGTAAAACAGTTGCAGCAGAACTGAAATTCTGGGATCACATTTGCATCCCAGATAAAGTTCTTGAACATATTTGGCTATTGCTCCCTGTAGAGGTTTGTTTCACAGAAGGAGTGGTTCCGAAATGTGTTCTTTAAGACACTCTTTGGGGAAAAAGTGGATTTAAATTTAGCAATGTGGCATTACAGTCCTTGGAAATAAAATTAATTTTATCCTGTTGTTCTGACAAAGTCAGGGAAATGTACTATCTGAAGTGGCATAATTTTTTCCAAAACTTTTCTTCCCTTCGAAAGGGAAGATTTTAAGCGACGTTTCCCAAAGTATATTTGTTGGAACGGTGGTCCCATGAGATGCTCCATTTAAAAAACAAAACAGGAGGAGGAGGAAGGGGAAAAAAGAATTCCTGGGTCAAAGTGGCTTGGAAACCCTCCTTGCCTCTCTTAGCTTCATTATCATGTTGGCATATTAATGCCTCTTAAAAGAACTGCCACAAAGAAGCCTGTTTAACTTTGCTTAACACAATAATCCCCAAACAGATTAGACCATGGAACCCTTTTTTCAAGTAACACCCATTAAAGCCCATTGAGGTGAGAGCACCACGGAACCCACTTTAAGAAACACTGCCTTGGGGCCGGCCCCATGGCATAGTGGTTGGGTTGGCATGCTCCGCTTCAGCAACCTGGGGTTCGCGGGATCAGATCCTGGGTGCAGACCTACACACCACTCATCACGCCATGCTGTAGGGGCATCCCACATACAAAAGTGGAGGAAGGTTGGCACAGATGTTAGCTCAGGGACAATCTTCCTGATTGACAAGGGATGTTAGCTCAGGACCAATCTTCCTCACTAAAAATAAAGGAACACTGCCTTCACCCCTGGGGAGGGGAAGAGGGGCCATCATCCCCTGCTTTCTGCCAAATGGTTTTGGAATATTCATCATTTCTCTCAAATGACAAAGGACAAAATATTGTTTCTACTTTTAATTCATTTCGCCTACAATTCCTGTAACATTTGGTATCTGATAAAGACATTTTAAACAAAAAGATACATTCAAAATTGGGAACTAACAGTGAGCGAACTGTTCCACTCCAGCCACCTGTGCGTTTGAAGGGGCTGGTTCTGCTCTCCGGCTCCATAACCTCTGGAACGCCCTCCCAGGGCAGAGCCTGCTGGGCAGATCTTCAACCCACCACGCAGGCCGGCCCCTCTCCTCCCAGCTTGCCTACTGGGAAAAACCGAGCCGATCCTTTTTTGCAAACCCATGAAAAGTGGTGTCTAAAGAACGGACGGTGTCGGTGTTGAAAGCATTTGGGAGTTCTTTGATTTCCTCACAAAACTTCATTGTTGCTAAATCCGAAGATGAGCATGACAATATCTGCAAGTCTTTCAACCTCGCTGTTGTCTCTCCACGGCGTCCTTCATGCCAGCAGCGCGTCACAGGATGCGCTCCAACGTGCCTCACTTAGCTTCTAGCACGCTTCTGGGAGTGAACACGCATTTTCCCGAGAGAACTAAGGGGCTATGATGCATTTATAGTTTCTCTCTCCTCCCCACCCTGTGATCAAAGAAGAAATTTAAGGGAGGATGCTATTCATTCAAAAATATATTTCCTAAAATAGACATATATATATATACTTCCTAACGGCCCTCAATGTGCAATTAAAGAAAACAGCAAAAATCCCTATCCTAATGGGGCTGACGTGAGAGCAGATGGCTCAGCAGAGAAGTTTCCAGCTAATAGGGTGGATCTTATCATGAAAACCAGTCCGAGAAGGAGGCAAATCTCCCTTTAGCCAGGTTGTTGTTGTGCAAGGACGGGGTCCAAAGTCTGACGGCAAGAGGAGGGTTTACACAGACCATCACCTGCGAATGAAGAGCAGCTCTTGGGGCGAGGGAGTCCAGGCTGCCGGGGAGGAGAGAGACCCTGGCAGAGAAACGGAGCGGGGGTTGAAGCCACCAGCATGTCCCCCTGTGGAAACAGCAGAGGCCCAGCCTGAGGTTGCCTCCATGACAGCCCCCTGAAGCCTGGGGTGGCAGCTTAGCAAGAGGCGAGGTGGCTGTGCGAGGAACACAAGGGACAGTGAAGTGAAAACATTAGGGACCCTCCGGCGGCACCACGAGCGAGGCAGTAAAGTCGAGTTGCCACACGGCTCTGGAACCCTAACTCGATCCTTCGCTAAATACCTCCCGGGCCTCCAGCAAAGTCCAGTGTGTTCTGGGCCAGGGGAGGGTGGCAGCCAGGGACAGGGACAGTGTTCAAGAAGAAGCTGTCCCACTTGCTGGCCATCTGCGGATTCTTGGATGAGAAGAGCACCCGCCAGCAGTCACCAGGCCCAAGAGCTCGTGGGGCAGCGGTCAGCCCTCCCTCCCAGGGTGTGACAGCACTGCTGGGCGGCTCTCCCCTCCCAGGGCCCAGGTGCCATCATGCCTGGCTCACTCGCAGGTTGGAGCAGAGCACAGTCTTCAGTGGCTCTCCACCGAGGGCCAGGAGCCTGGGGTGTCCGAGTTCTCAGTGCTTCCTGACTCCCAGCTCTCATCACGGTGTCCTCACTCCCTGGGCCTCCTCGCTGTTCGTTCCTCAAGTACAGAGGCCAGCTCCTTTCTCAGGGTCTCATCACTTGCTGTTCCACTGCCCGGAGCGCTATCCCCTACGTATCTCTATTGATCTTTCTCATTCAGGTCTTTGCTCAATGTCACCTTCTCGGTGACACCTTCCCTGATGACCCCACATAAAATCTCAACCTTTCCCCACACTCTCCATGCACCCTCCCTGTTAGATAAAAATGAAGTCACACTGGAATAGGATGGGCCCCTAACCCAATAGGACCGGCGTCTTTCTAAGAAGAAAGAAAGTGGAGACAGAGGCACACAGGAAAACACCACAGGATGACAGAGATTGGAGTCCTATAAGCCAAGAAACACCCCAGAGTGCCAGCAGACCCCAAGAAGCAGGAAGAGGCAAGGAAGGGCCCCCAACACACTGTAGAGGGAGCGAGGCTCTGCCCACGCCTTGGTCTCGGACTTCGGGCCTCAAGAACTGTGAGAGAATACATTTCGGGTGTTTTCAGCCACCCAGCTTGTGTGACTTTGTTAGGACAGCCCAGGAAAACCAATCCACCATCCAATATCATCTATTTTTAAATAACATATGTGGTTTATCATCGGTCTCACCTCACAAGAACGCCAGCAGCACAGGGCAATGATCTCCATCTGTTTTCTTCACATCTGTGCTCTCAGTGCCTACTGCAGTGCCTGGCACATGATAAGTGTTTATAATATTGGTGGAATGAACGAATTAATGAATGAATGAAACCTGTCACGCCTCCACACCCAGTGAAGACTAGCACCCGGCTGCTGATCTGCCTCTCCCTCCCCACTCCAGAGCACCTTCCATGAAGGATGGTAACCCCACCAGCACCCTCCCCTTCCATGCAGTTCCAGTCCCCTGCCGCTCCACCCTGCCTGAGCCACCTGCACCCTACCCCTGAAATTTGATGTCACCTGGAACTGTCCCATCTGGGCTGACGTTGGGGCTGGACCCAGGATCTGGCTATGTTGGGTGCAGACATCTCCCAGAGAAGCTGTTGGCATCCAAGAAGTGAGAACAATGAGGACTGGCCCAGTGGCACAGCAGTTAAGTTTGCACGTTCCGCTTTGATGGCCCAGGGTTCACCAGTTTGGATGCCAGGTGTGGACATGGCACCACTTGTCAAACCATGTTGTGGCAGGCGTCCCACATAGAAACTAGAGGAAGATGGGCATGGATGTTAGCTCAGGGCCAGTCTTCCCCAGCAAAAAAGGACAGTTGGCAGCAGATGTTAGCCCCAGGCTAATCTTCCTGAAAAAAAAAAAAGAAGTGAGAACAATGGTAGTCAAGAAGAACCCAAGGCCTGTGCCCAGGGAGCAGCATCCTCCCGCAGCGCTGAGGGTGGAAGATGAGCTGGGTGGAGAACAGGAGCGGGACGGGAAGCAGAGCTGGAGGGAGCCAGGGGCAAACAGCTCCAGACAGAGGCCGCGAAGCCCAGGCTCCCCTTGTTGGGTGAGCAAATGAGCGTGGTAGAGGGCGGCCAGCTTCGAGGAGCAGGGCCCGGCCTGAGATTCCTCTCCATCCTCCTCTCCCAGGGCCCTCTGTAGAACTCGACCCTCCATTCACTCAACACATATTTACCGAGCACCCTACTATGTGCTGGGCATATGATAGTCCCTGGGGGAGCACGGGAGACACACACAGTCACGGGCCTGCCCTCACGGAGCTCCCAGGGGACTAGTCATGTAACTAAAACATGAAGGGGGCCTCGCAGGAGCAATCCCAGGCTGCTGTGGGAAGGCCTGACAGGGGCCCCAGTTAGTCTGGAGGAGGTCAGGAAAGGCTTCCCCGAGGAAGGGACCCCCCCAGACCTGAAGGAGAAGGGGCCAGCCAGGCAATGGGAGAAGAGGCAGGAACAGCTTTCCAAAGGCCCAGAGGACACAATGGAGAATGGCGAGAGACGATGCATGAGAGGGAGCAGAGACCCTAGAGGCAACAGCTTGGGGACCGTGTTTGGACTCTATCCTTTGAGCAATGAGAAGCCATGCTAGGGAAGGGGGAGACATTAAACAGGAAAGTGGCTCAACAGCATATTTTTTTTTAAAGACCACTCTGGTGACTGGAGAATGGGCGGGCTGAGAAGCACTGATGGACATGGGGGACCACATGAGAGGTGACGGAGCCAGGTGAGAGGTGATGGAGCCAGGCGAGAGGTGAGGATGGTGGCCAGGGGGATGGAGCAAAGCTTCCTATATTTGATGCTGGACTGGCTGTGGAGGGGAAGGAGAGGGAGGAATTGAGGACAGCTGCTAGGGAGGAGGTGGTACCACACACCGAGAGCCAGCACATGCCAGGAGTGAAGATGATGCGCTTGGAACAAGGCTGCCCTTGCCGAGAGCCTCCGTGCTCTGGCCCGGCCTTCCTCCCCGACACACCACTCCCTCCCGCTCCCTAGGGTCCTGCGGCCTAGCCTGCTTTCAGCCTGCAAGCCGTGCCAATCACATTCTGGGGCAGGGCCTTTTCACCTCTTGTCTCTCTGGCAGGAACACCGTGCCCCAGCCCTTGGGTTGGCTGGATCCTCCTCCCAGGTCAAGTCTCGACTCATGCCACCTCCTCAGGGAAGATTTCCCTGACCACCTCCACCTAAAGGAGCCCCACAGGTCCCCATCCCCTTGCTCTGCTGTATTTTCTTCTTAGCACAATCACTATTTGCAGTTACCTTGTGTATTTGTTCACACATCCATCAAATGTCCCTTCCCACCAGAACGGAGGCTCTGGAGACAGGGACATCTCTGCCCTGTTTACCACGTGCACCCTGCACCTGGAGCAGTGGGTGCTCAGTAAATCAGCATAGATCGGACCAACAGGTTACTGCAGCGCCCAGGAGCCAGGTTAGGCTGGGGCTGCAGATTCCAGAGCCTGGCACAGGGATGGCCATTTCAGCTCCAGGAGGGGGGCACCCAGAGCCAGAGGGCATGTGAGCACTCGGGAAAGAAAGAGGAGATGCTGGCTCAGGACCCTCAGAGAGACGTGAGACAGGGACGAGCTGGGAGCCGGATCCAGCCAGGCAGGGGCTCTGGAGTCCAGGCTCCTGAGTCCACATCATCTCCGGAGTTTCCTGAAGTGGGTATTATCCTCATCCCATTTCACTAAGGAGGGAGAGGATTTCGGTCACCCAGCGAGGGGCAGCCCCAGCATGTGGACTCAGCATTGTCCTGGAACTCAGGGTCTCAGCCTCTCCTCTCCTCCTCACCAGCTTCTGTCGCAGAGGGGCAACCTGTGAGGAGGGGGGCCGGCAGCGGCAGGAGGGGCCAGGAGACCTGAAAAGCAGGTGGGAGCAACCAGCCAGGGGCTGGAGATTCTGACCGCTCCCGCAGAGGGAAGCCAGGTTGGAGAGGGGCGAGGGGCGAGCAGAGCTGAGGACAGGGACAGGACGGGTCGTGGAGAAGATTGGCCGCAAAATGAAGTGAGACGGGGGTGGGGGGGGGGGGTGGTAACTGGAGGAGCCCCGCAGGCAGAGGAGGGCTATTTTAAGGTGGAAGAAACCCGAGTGTGGTTTTGAAGTTGGAGCCAGCAGAGAAGGAGCGATTTAAGAGGCGTTAAGAAACCCAAGAGGAGGAGGACACTCAGCGCCCCAGGAGTGCGAGAGTGCGAGGGTGCCGAGGGGAGAGCGCATCCTTAGGGCGGGGACGCAGGGAAAGCCCCTGGCTCCAGAGGAAGTGCTGGTCCAGGTCTGGGGACAGAAGTGCCGGCGCCTCTGTTCTGTGGGAAGTCAGAGGCGAGCGCATCGGAGCAGAGTGCAGGGGAGGGTCGGGGTTTGAGCGCAGGGATGGTTTGCATCACTCAGCATTAGGAGAGAGAGCTGGCGGGAGCGGGCGTGGGCGTGGCGAGGGTCCAGCAGGGCTGGGGGCCAGTCTTGGTGCCACCGGTCTGCCCAGGGCTGGGATGTTCCTCCGGAGCACGCAGCAGCCCGGGTGCAGGTTCCAAGAACAGAGAGTTGCAGCCATCAAGGGCTGAGGTGCCACCAGGAGGGCTCGGAGGAGGAGGGCAATCGGGCAGTGGGCAGGGGCGAGGCTGAAGTAACACACCCCGGACTCTAACTGGGGGAGGGGAGTGGGGGCCGGAAGGGGCTCAGGGACAAGGAGGGAGCAGAGACGGATGAGCTCAAGGGACCATCATGAAAATGTTTGAGAACAGAGGGTGTGGCCAGAGAGCACAGCAGTATCTGAAGCAGGGGTTTTAGAGACTGGTAGTTCTGAGCCCTGTCAAGGTAGACAGGCAGACAGACAGACAGACGACTCGGAGGGTAGGGGGGTGGCTGAAGTCTAAGTCTGCTGAGCTTAGAAGGGAAGCCAGTAGCTGGGGAGTGGGATGTGTGCGTTCCTTTGTGCCTGCTTGTTTGGGTATTTATTGTTTCATTTTGTAGCCTAGCTGTGACGTGTGTGTGGGTGAAGCACTCACACAGGACAAGGGAGCGTGCGACAGAAAATAAACCCATCCCTACACACACACACACACACACACACACACAGCCCAGAGGGAAGCCTGTCCCCACCAGCCTCTGTTTGGGGTTCCTTTCTTCCTCTCCCCCTGAGGCAGAGCTCCCCCGCCCCCAAGCCTCTGGCTGCAGGCCTCTTCCCAGGCCTCAGAACTGCTGGGGGTGTGGAACCTCCTGGACACCCCTCAGTCCTGAAACCCTTTCTTCACTCCCCGGCTTCCCCCCCCTCCCCACCCCCGCCCTGCCTGTAAGCGGTGGCCTCCTGCAGGGTTGCATGCAGCAGGTCACCCCACCCCAACCTGAGCCATTCCCACAGCTCCATCTTCTGCCTCTAGCAACATCATGGCCCAGACCTCTCTGCTGAGCCCCAGGCCCATATGCTAATCGTCCACCTGACAGCGCCCCGTGGATGTCCCTGCTGTGCTTCAAACTCAACACACAAGAACTGGGCTCATCACCTGCCCCCTGCCTGTGGCCCCCCATCTGCAGCAGCCATGACCCCGGCATCTGTTCACCCCAGGGCTGAAACAGGACTAGATTTGGTGAGGAAACATGCCCCTCCCTTGGGCCCTGTGGTTTGGGGTGTCTTGACACCCCCCCACTCTGAGTAGAGCATGTGACTGAGGCCTAGAACATTCCACACTGACAGCATAGTGATTCAGGGTTAGCAGAGTCCAACAGGCCCAGTCACAGCTGCTCCCAGGGTTTGGCCTGAGTGACCTGGGAGATGCCCCCCTCTTTCCTGATAGATTTGAACCTGAGAGGCCCTGATGCCAACACTGAGCCTCCCCTGGCGTCTGAAAGTGAAAATATGCACACTTACCGTGTATTCGCCCTGTGCCAGGTGCTCCATACCAGTGAACCTCACGTCATCCTAACAAAAACTGCACTAGCTAGGCCCTGCTTTTCCCCCTTTAAAGAGAAGGGAATGGAGCCACAGAGAGTTAAGCACTTTGCGTGAGTCACACAGCTAGTGAATATGGTGCCAGCACTCAAATCCAGCGGTGCGATTCCAAGTCCTTGCTCGACCACTAGGCCACCCTGCAGAGGCTGACACAGGTGAGCAGACCAGGCCATGGAAGGGAGGGATGCAAGGCCTGCTCGCATCGACTGAGACCCGAGTCCCTGAGCCCGGAGACAGCCCTAGGCTTTCCAGGCACATGTTTGGGTTACACGTTTGTTTGAGTTTCCAGTAAATTCAGACCAAAAATGTCCTAACTGGTAACACATCACCTGGGTGGGCGGCAGGCGTCCCCACTCCCTCAGTGACCCCGCCCTGGCCCCTGGCCTCCCCCCCCCAGACTAGTCACCAAAGCCCGAATCCCGGATATCCCTTGGACCTGTCCCCTTCCTCTCCATCCTTGTCGGGGCCCCTAGCATTTTTGCCAGTTATTGACCACAGCCTCCTTGCTGTCTATCTACCTCCGTCCTGCTCCCACCCCCAGATGTACCCCCCCAGGTCCCTAAGGTCCGGATCCCACCAAGCCACTTCCCCGGCTTGAAACCCTGCAGGCACCTGGCTGCCCCCAGGGTAAATTCTACTCCTCCCCAGGTGTCCCCCGCTCTGGTCTCCTCTCCCTTCACACCCCTGCTTCCAGAGCAGCCTGGCCCCACCCCCTCTGCACCTCTGCCCAGAATGTCCTTCTCCCACTCGGACGCCGCCTCTTCTACTAGCCCGTCCCCCTCTGCACTTGGCTCTGTCGATGCTGGGCTCCTCCGACTGTCGACTTCAACTCAGTGTTCTGAGCAGCTCTTCCCTAGACTGTGAGCTCCCGGGGGCAGAGACTCTGTCTCAGTCACCTCCTCATGCCCAGCTCCCAGAGCATGCCTGGCACACAGCAGTCACCCAGTAAACACTCACAGAAAAGATGAACAAAGGAGGAGTTCCCAGGAACAGGGTGGGAGGCTCTAATCCTCTCCTCTGGGGACGGTCAGAGTCAGGGAAAATAATAACAAGGTCACATGGTAATTACAGCGTAGGAAGCCTTTTATCTACAGTCAAGCACGTTACCTATTTGATCCTTACAGTGACATCATTGCCTCCACTTTATGGACGAAGAGATTGAGGTTCAGGAAGGTTTACAATCTAGAATTAAGTGCACACGATGACAAAATTCACTCCATTTCAAACTCCCCCCCTCGGGGCTCAGGCTGGACTCCTGTCTGACCCCAATATTCCCACTGGATGAAGTGGTGCTGCTGCGCACGTTGGCCACAGGGGGGCAGCCGAGTGCCGGCGTGAGAGTCACCGTCGGCCTCACCTCCTACCACCCTTAGGAAAATTTGGATCCGGGAGTGAAGGGGAATAGCCGCCACTGAGGAGAGACCAGGGTAGAGGGGCATGGCTGGGCTGCTACTTCAGTATCTGCCAGACACAGTTCAAACTGGAGTGGGGGTGGAGAGTCAGGAGCTGGAAACATAGACTGTATACCTAAGCTTGCATGACCAGCCACAGGAAGTGCTGGGGCATTGCTGGGGCACCCAAGACCTCCAAATGGGTGACATGACCCACAGCCCTCAGCAGGGACAGTCAGACCACAACCGCCCTGCACCAGAGACAAGACATGTTCATGTCCCCCGAGGCCCGGTGGGCCGGGGGCAAGGCCAGCGTCTGCTGCACCGAGCATCCAGGGTGTGTGGCCACTTCAGTGCCCAGGACACACAGCAGTCCCCCAGGGGCTTTCATTCCTGAAGCACGGACCTCCCGGACCCACACCCATGAGTACTTCAGGAGGCTGAGTGGAGCAGGTGACAGGCAGCAGCCGAGTGCAAGGGTCCCAGGTGGGAGGTCATGCCACAGTCCGGGTTTCTCCCAGTCTGTCATCCGCACCGCGTGGATCAAAGGCAGCAGGAGTTCCCATGGCAGCAGGCTGGAGGGAGAGCTGTCTAGGGGACAGACCACGCAAGGCTCAGGAATCTGTAAGAGATCGCCACCCCCATCTTTGCTGGAAAGGGAGCTGTGCCATGTGGAAGCCAAGGAATAAACTGGATAAATCCCCAACAGCCTTTTCCAGCTGAGGGTGAAACTCAGGGGCTGGAGGAAATTTAGGCAAGATCTCCACCCACTGTCGTCCCAGCCTTTCCCCCACGGATGCTGCAGGCTGACAGAGCTTGCTGAGGAGCCAGATGCCCAGCCTCATCCCCCAGCTCTCAGCCCTGCACCCATTCCCCCACCTCTCCCTCCAGCTGGAGCCTGAGAGATGGGCTAACAGCAGCACCCATCTTTTTCTAAATTTTCTAAATTCTTCTTCTTCCCACTCAGTCTGACAGCCTTGACCAGGGTCAGAGTTCCATAGCAAGCATCTCCGCATCTTCCCCAGGAACATCGAGGTCCCCAGCGCACGCCACACTCGGCTCTCCAAACACAGAGCCAAAGGGACAGCAAAGGCAGGAAGTTGGATAAAGAAAGCCTTTGCCTCGCCCCAGCCCTGCCTTGGTGTGAGAAGAAACCATGATACTGGGGCCACAGCTCCTGCCACCACCAAACCTCTCTGTGCCCCTGCCACCACCCGCATTTGATCTCAAAGGCCAATCTAAAGTCATTGCCCTTGCCTCTGATCCTTCTTCTCTGACCGCGGGGCTTTTTCTCCATAGATGTACATTCCAGCTGACCCCCCCGAGCCCACCCCCACCCTCAGGCTCAGGCCAGGAAAGCTGAGCCCGGCTGGCTGGGGGCTGCTGCCGACCTCTGGAAGACTGTCCCCAGCAGCAAGAAGGGATCTAAAAGGGCCAGTGGAGAATCAGGGACAGGAGGGAGGCAGGACACAGGGGTTTGGGTTCCAGTCTCAGAAACCATGCGCCAAATGTGTGCGTAAAGATTCATTCCTTTGGGGAGGGAAAGGCCATATTTTGCATCAGCATCTCAAAGAGGGGGAAAGGGAGCCAGACGGAGCAAGAAGGGCAACCCAAAGGAGGCCTTCTCACTCAGGGATGCCGCCCCCAACCCCTGAGCTCGGGATCAGGAACCCCGGGGTGACTTCCAGCTCTATGTGTCACTTGAGAAGGTCACTTCCTTCTCTCAGAGCTTCCCCATTTGTAAAATGAAGGGTTCCTGGTGGACATGGGGACTCCTCGGCCCCAGCTGGGGAAGGAGAGGAGAGCACAGGGAGAGCGGATGGAAAAGCAGCAGAATGTACGCGGCCACGGGGTAGATGACCCCAGATACCATAGAGAGAGGGAGTTCCCACCCCTCCCGCAGGACACGGCAAAGGAGGTGAGGAATGTCCCCAGGCCCAGCCCATGGCCCTTGTGCCAAGAGCAGTCACACACAGACACACACACACACACACACACACACACATACCCTCACCGCCCTGGACAGCCCTGTCTCCAAGGCGGGGGTGCGGCGTCCCGGAGGTGAGAAGTCCACGGCTCAGCGGGGCCAGGATGGCACGGCTGCCAGGATTAGCACCAAATCCTGGGCTGCTCCGCACGAGGATCACCCGTCGTCAGCTTCACAGCTGCTCAGCTTCAGCCGCCCGCCCGTTGGCCCCCCACCCCTCACCGGCCCCTCCTCACCTGTGCCGGCTCCCTTCTCAGCGGGGAGCTGGGCCCCTGCCTCTGCCCCTGGCAAGCAGGGAGGGGCTGCTGCATAGGAGGGACAAGGAGGGTCAGAGCCACCCCCAGCAACCAGCCCCACTCACAGAAACCTCCCAGGAGCCTCTAGGTATGACGCTGGACAGAGGAGAAGGACAGTCAAGGCTTCCCCCCACAACCCCGGCTCTGCCTGAGGTGGCCTTGGCCTGGAATTACCTTGTCTTAGGCCACCCAGGCCCTTCCTCCAGATGGTTCCTGTCCTGGGAGAGGCAGAGGCAGGAGGGCCAGATGGAGCCCCCACAGCCAGGAATCCTCAGCCCCAGCTTCCTGGAGCAACGAGCTCCTGAGGCCCCCCAGCTGTTGGGAACCTTGCCATCTACACCCCACCCCCCAAACACACACACACACACACACACACACACACACACACACACACGCCGACAAAGCTCCTTGCTCTGGGCCACAGCCCTCTTCATAGCCTGAGCAGGGGCTAAAGGAGGGGGTCGCAGCACAGCAACCCATCGCCCAGGGTCATCCAGACCCCTGGCTCCGGTCTAAAACACTACCGCACTCCCATCCCCGCCTCAAGGGGGGCCGCAGGACAGAATCTTAAACCCCTTCCAGGGGCGAGGCTTCACGAAGGAAAGGACGGGGGGGAAGCAGAAGCCGAAGGTCTGGGGTGTCCGTCTCTGTGGCCCTGTGTGTCCTCAGCCTCTGGGTGGAACGGGCCACGGGGTGGGGTCGTGGAACCAGGGGGGCTGGAACTGCGGGTCGCGGCGCGGGGGGTGGGGAAGAGAGCCCCAGAGCACCCCTCCTCTTTGACCCGCCTGCCTCCCCTCTCCCAGTGACACCGTGACCGGCTCTTCTCGAAAAAGGACAGGCTGGAGGCGCCGCTGCGGGAGAACCGAAGGCCGAGGAGGGAAAGGCAGACTCCGCACACCTGCGGGAGCCGCCGCCCCGAGCCGGGCCAGAGTCGCCGCGCTGAGCCCCTGGGTCGGGCGGCTCCGGCCCTGTGCCCGCCCCCGCCGCGGCCGCCTCTCACCTGCGCGGGCGCGGCCTGGGGAGGCCGGGGCGGGGGCCTCGCTCCGCAGCAGCCGTCGGGGCTCCCGGCGGCCGGGCGCCTACGAGTCGTCGTCGCCCCCGCTGGCGCCGCCGGGCTCAGCCTCGCGGGACGCGCGCCGCTCGCGGGTGTGCAGCGCGGCTAGGCCCTGCGCGCGGAGCAGGAGGCCGCCGCCCAGGAACAGGACCCCGCAGAGCACGAGCAGCGACAGCACGCCCAGCACCGCCGCCTGCAAGGCGCGCGGCCCCTCGGGGGGCTCCGGTGGCGCCCCCGACTGGTTGCAGCAGGAGCTCAGCCAGGCGGCTTGGGCCCCGGCGTCCGCCTGCGAGCCGTTCATGCTCCGGCGCCGGCTGCCCAGATGTGCGCGGGACCGCCAGATGTGCCGGAGCCCGGGCCAGCAGCGGGCGGGCGGCGGATCGAGGAGGGACCCGAGAGGCGGGTCCCAGGCGCCCTAGGCCCCCACCCCTCGCGCAGAGGGCTCAGGCTCTTCCAAGACAAAGGGCTCCTCCAGGGTGGACTACGGGGCGGGGCCGGGGTATCCCTTCTCCTCCCAAAGGCGCACACACCCGCGCATGCAAATCCGGCCCGTGCACCCAGCCAGCCAAACCCAGCACTCTGCCCCTTTCCTGGCAAAGGAAGTCAAGGGGTAGCACCTCCCTCAGAGCCCTGAAAAGATCTGCCAGGCCCCACCCCGGGTGCTGGCAGAGGTGCTGCCCCGGACTGAGCAGGACCCAGGACAAGCAAGGGCCATCCCCATTCCTGGGCTTTCTGCCTGCGCCAAAGTTCAACACTGCGAGGTGGCCCAGGCGGCCACTGGAGCAGGAGGCAAATGGGGAGGCTCCTGACCTGAGCCATGCCCTCCTTCCTCATCCATCATACCCTTCAGAAGCCTCCACTGACTGCACAGCAGGGAGATGGAGGTGCGGGGGATTTCACCACCGACCCCCACACCCTTGCTCAGGCCCCAGAGGTCAAGGAGAGTTACAGAGCAGTGGGAGAGCACAGATTTGAGTGCCCAAGACTCCTGAGAAAATCACTGCCCTACCTCTGGGAATCACAATGCCAAAAGGGCTGGAGATGTTGCTGAGCTGTCCACCAAGGGGAGCTCGCTAACAGCCGGATGTCCCATAGCGAAGCCAGGTCGGGAAAGTGGAGCAGATCTGGCTGCAGAAAAGCAGAAAGTCTGGGGAAGCTGGGACGGAGGGAAGACTTCCCAGCACAGGTCTCCTGACAACTCCTGTAGCAACCTTGAGCTCTCTTTAAACACAAAGTCACTGCCAGCAAACACCTGTATCAGCCTCCCTCTCAGAAGGGATCAGCTGATGGCCAGCTAGCAGGAAAGGAAGGTCCCTCCGCAGGCCAGGTGGGGATCACACACCATCAAGGACTTGCTGGGAATGGGCCTTTCCCCTCCCACAACCCCTGAGAACTCCGGAGTTCTTCAATTCCCCAACACCCCCAAGACCAAGGGCAGGACATCATAAAACCCGTCACGAAATGCCACTTGGCCTACAATGGGAAAAATGTGCAAACACTTCCTGGCCATCCTGGCTACCTACCTGCTCCAGGACCACGGGCAAGACGCCATTCCACCACCCTACCGTCATTTCTCCCTCTGCACCCCTCCCTACACACAGTGCACTGAGTCTGGTTAGAACTGGCCCAGATGTAGCCAAAAGGCATTACAAAATATGGAATAAATCAATGAAAAGCACACAACGGAGTTCACTGATTGTGAGCATGCTTGTGTAGGAATGAGTGTGAGTTACCGAAGCAATGTCCTCAGAACCAGCAAGCTAGCCCAGCCTGGCAGAAGTGTCACCGGACACCAGTCTCAAACTGGCCAATCTCCCGAGAGAGAAACCCCAAATCGAATGAGCTTTCTGATACACCTGGCGGCCTTTGTGTGCCCTATGAAGACAGAGAAGATATTCTTTGGGGCTGTCATGAAGCAAGACCAGATAATATAAAGGCCAGGGATGTCACAGCTTCCTTAGGAAGGGAGGAGAAACAGCACAGTCATATCCAAAAGCAACAGATCCTGATTCATGGGACTGACCACGGCCACACCTGGGTGGGTGACACTTGCTTATGTGAAAGTCCAACAAAGTACAACATCAGTCGGTTTTCATCTGTCTTTAATCCCATCTAGGCATTCCCTTCACCTTGGAAGAATGCCCTCAACACACACCTGTGTCCTCACAGGTCTGCCAGAAAGTGTGGACATTTCAGGGTACAACACAAGCCAAGGGAGAGACGGCTTGACCCAAACTCACATTCTCAGCTTTATTCACCACCCTAGCAGATGGCTCTTCTGTACAGTGGAGAAGGAAGCAGGACCCCACAGGGCTGTGGGGAGACAGTGGAGGCCAGACTTGACCATCAGCAAAGGTTAAGAGAATGACCAGATACTGGTGACCACAAAACAAGGAAGCCAGGGGTGGCCATTCCAATCTCATCAAGGACCTGGAGCAGGTTCCAGAGCCCCAAGGGCCTAACAGTACGATCCCTAGAAGCCAAGGTCTGCGAGCCATCAAGGAGCACCCAAGGCCCCCGAGAGGCCTAGAGGGCAAGGGTGTCTTTGATGAGCCTGCGCATGGTGGTGGTCACCGAGGTGCCCAGGGCGTCGGTGATCTGGAAGGAGATCTTGTAGAGGTAGGGCTGCACGTCCCGCAAGCCAGTGTCGAACACGTTGTCCACCTCGGACTGCGTGGGCATCTTGGGCAGGTACTCGTGCCGGTTCATCACCTCCACGATGCTGATGATCTTCTCGCAGAGCTTCTCTCCCACCTTCTCCCGGCAGATCTGCCGCTCCTGCTCCGTGGCCAGGGCGACCACGTGCACCTTGACCGTCCACACTTCCCAGGGGATGCACTCGTCTGAGAAGGGCCAGCGGGACTTCTTCTTCTGATAGAATTCCAAGGACATCTGCCCCAGCCCGTCGCCACCGGAGCTGCGCAGCGCATCCTGGGGAAGGAGGGGCAGCGGGTGAGCAGGCCAAGACCTCTGCGGAGGTCCCCCCTGTGAGGGCCAGCTTCCTGCGCCCCAGGGAGCCAGGCTGTATTAGTCCTTCAGAGAGGGGAAGGAAATGAGACCCAGAGAGGGTAAAGGACTTGTGTGGAGTGACACAGCAAACTGCCAGCCTAAAATTGAGTGGTTCAGGCAAACCAACAAAACGTCTCCTTGCCCAACTCCTCCAGCTTTGGTCAGAATTGAGGTTTTCTAACACTTATCCTGGGCCAAGCACTTTACACACACAATCTCACTCGCTCCTCTCAACAACTCTATGAGGCAAGCATATTACCTCCATTTTATTGAGGGAAAATGAGGCTCAGAGGCACTGGCCTGTGACTTGTGGCACAGTAACTTGCCAAAAGTCACAGACCAGTGACTGGCTGCGTCAGGGTTTGAATCCAGACTGGCCGGTTTCAAAACCCTTGATCTTCACCTTTACATGAAGGGCCCTGCTTCTGCTTCCACAACCCCACTCTTTGGCCCCCATCCTTCCAAACATTCTCCAAAATCAGCTTCTCTCCAGCCTCTCCTCCCCAGGTAAACCCTATCTACCTTCTCCACTGCCGGGAAGCACAAGCCTTCTACTTCATTCACTTGATGACAACCTAAACTCACAGTCCCCAAAGAAAAGCAGGAGAGGGCACTCTAAAGCCCAGCGGTCCTTGATTAGAAGGAAGGAAGCCAAGGAACAGAAAGGGGAAGGGAAAGGAAGGACAGACCAGCCCGGGCTGCTTCCTCTCCTCCTCTGAGAAGCAAAGGGGACCATTTGGTCCAATAATTCTGCCTTTCCCCCTCATGGCGGGGGAGGGGGCCCACCCTCCTCCTCCTCCTCCTCCTCCTCCTCCTCCTCAGGCAGCCGGGACCCTGAACACCTATCCATCTGAGCTGGGACTAACCCAGAGGGTGAGAATGCTGCCCTCAAGTCCTGAACTGCCCATCAGGGAATAAGTCTCTCCTTCACCGACAAACCAAGGTCGGGTGACTTTGACTGACAGTAACAAGGGCTAACACTTCGACAATGATTCATTTAATCCTCACAGTGCATACACCCTAGAGGTGGGTACGATTAGCACTCCAACTTTATATACAGGGAAACTGACGCCCAGAGGAGCAGAGTCACTTGCCCAAAGTCACACACTTGCTGGGTGGCAGAGCCTGGCTCCAGGGCCCATCCTCTCAACACTGCTCCTCCGGCCTCTCACAGGCATCTGGAGCACAGAGCCTAAGACCGGCGGCCTCCCATGAAGGGGACGGGGAAACTCTTACAAATTCCTGGGCTCGGGGGGGCCTGGGGGGGGGGTCCACCCCCTGCAATGATCACACAGGGCCCGGCAGTGCAGGGGCTCTCCGAACATTTGTGGAATGAAAATCAGACAGACCACCCTACTCCTCTGACTCCAGAGAAGGTACCTTAAAGAAAAATTCCCTTTGTGACTTTAAAATGTAAAAAACACCCACTGGTTGAAACAGTGAAACACAGCAACACTGAATGAAGACAAAATTAAAAACCACACCCCCATGCCCACCGAGGTGACCAACATCGGCAGGCTGGTGTGTCCCTCCCACCTGTCCCCACGCCCACACAGGCACATACAAACACAGGTCACGCTGCCCAAAGGGCCGCTCCACTTGGATGGCGATGGCCTGAGCCCAGCTATCCTCCCTTGGGCGTTCCACATGGGAAAGGCCCAGACTGACAAGGCAAAGTGGAAGCGGAAGCCGAGAAAAAATGTCAGCAGAAAGAGCTGTGGAGTCAGAGAGAAGGTGAAGGCCACGGAGGCAATGATCACCCTAGGGACCTGACCACCAATGCTACGAGGGCTTCCTGTTCTCATTCGCTGGGTAGCTTTTCAAGCCCCCCACCTCACCCCTGCCACACACACAAGCCCCCCAGAGGAGCTCAGAACACACCTGTTCCTTAGAACCTGAAAGAGCCCGACAGGCACACCCAGGAAGGGTTAGCTGGTCACAGCAGGCACAGTGGAAGGGCAGTCGCGGCCCGCGCGGTCCGCCCGCCGAGCCACACTCCTACCTTGAATTCCCCGACAACCTTGCGCAGGGCGCGGTCCAGCTCCTCGGAGGAGACGCGCACGTAGGTGAAGTCGATGAAGTCACAGTCGACATCCTGGGTGCCCACGGTGCCGATGGAGTAGGTGCCCTCCTTCTTGTAGTGGAACTTGCCCGTGCTGCGGTGCAGCAGCACCGTGTGCAGCACAGCCAGCATGGCCTCCTCCACCTGCCGCCCTTCCACTGACACCTCCAGCACCTCCGAGCGGCAGTTCATCCTGCAGCCGGCGGCCCCCGAAGGTGGGGGATCGGAGGAGAGACGGGGAGCTTCACCCGACAGGGGTTGCCCTGCAAGAGGGATGAGGTCTGAAGGCTGCCAGCTTCTGCACGACCTGCATGTCACCTGCTCACTTCTGTCCAGGCCCAGCCCAGCCACTGCCTCTACAGCCCTCCTCTACATGGCACAGCACAGACCATCAGAGAAGCTCACACTCCCGGGATCTGAGATGGGGGAGCTTCCAAGTTACCACTCCAAACAACCGGCCAGGGTTCACGATGGTCTGCAGTGCAGTTCAAGCCAATGCTGACCGGCAACACCTGCCTGGCTCGGCCGTCCAAAGGCAAGCCCAGCACCTGCCCTTGAGAAGCTGCCGCGATGGAGGGGAGACGGGGACTAAACGCCACCACAGTGGCAAGACTAAAAAGCGGGAGCGAGAAGAAAAGGAAGACTGGAGTCTGGTTTCCTGGGACCTTGAATGACCAGGTCAAGGCAATGGCCTCTGTCCTGAGGGCAGTGAAGACTCAATGCATCATTGTGCCAAGACCAAATCTGTGATCAGGAAGTGAACTCTGGCTGACAAGCGACGAACAGCTCCTCACTATTCTGGGGTCACGAACTGCTCTGAGAAGCCACGGAAAGCTAAGAAGACTGGGCTTTCTAACCTGACTCACACACACACACACACACACACACACACACACACATACACACATGACACCTCCCCTATTTCCAGGGCCAGCCACAGACTAGGGGAAAAACTTGCCAATTTAAGGCAGAAAGGCTGGGCAAGGACTCCAGATAGAGGCGACTACAGTAATGGCAGTTACAGAGGCAGCACATGGGATGTGGGGAGTGAAGAGCAGAGTGTGGGGGTTTTCTTGTCCAAAAGTCCTGGGTTGGAATCCCAGCTCTCCCATATCTTGCTCTGTGACCCTAAGCAAATCACTCAACCTGAGTCTGTTTTCTTATCTGTAAATTTCGACTGTGGTGAGGATTACACAAAATGACACATGAAAAACAGTAGAATAGTGGTCAAGAGCAGTGACTCTAAAGCCAGACAGCCTGGGCTGGAACCCCAGCTCTGCCACTTACTCACTGTGTGATCCTGGGCAAGCTGCTTAACTCCTATGTGCTCAATTTCCCCAATTAATAAAAAGGGGACATTAATAGCGAACTTGAAAAGATTGTCTCGGAGACCGGATGAGTTAGCATCCATAAAGCACCTAAAGCCATACCTGGCAAGTGGTAAACAGCAAGCTTAGCTGCTGTAACTCATTATCATATTGTTAATGCTGAGATGACGCAAGGCCACATGCCGGCACTGGTGGCAGGGGTGGGAAGGAAAGAACAGACCTGAGAACCAGAGCTCGGGAGGTAACTGAACACGAGCCCAGAGCGAGAGCGACTGTCCAGTTTCTCAGCCGAAAGTGTTCAGCTCACACATGTCCCCTGACGGGGCACTCACTACCTCTCACAGCAGACCGTTCCGGCTCGAGTCAGCTTTGTCCAGTTGCTCCTTCTGTTGAAGGAAGCTGGCTCGTAGTACTTCAAACCACTGGTCTCTGTTTTGCTATCAGGAGCCTCTATCCCGACTGCTCAGACATCCAGCCAGCCTGGCCCCTCACCTGCCAGGTCTACCTGTCCTAGAGTCATCTTTTCACGGGGCTGTCTTGTCTTTCCCAGTAGGCAGACTTCTTTGAGGGCAGGGACTGTATGCTATTCATCACTGGAAACTCAGTATCTGGAACGTAGTACAAAGTAACTGCTCACTTCATCCTGACCCAGGAATTCCAGGGCCTTCCAAGCCTTGCTGGGTTGGTTTCTCCTATACTCTCAGTTCCACCATGGACTGGGCTCTCTGGGTCATTTCTGCCCTCTAGACTAACTCCATCCAGCAGTTTCCCATCTAGAGACTCCCAGCTCTGATCCAGCTCCCCTTTCTTCCACAACTGCCCCCTCTTGTGTCCCCCACACACCTTCAAACAGGACACACCTCGCCTCGTTTTGGCCCCAAGCCCAGGCTCTCCACTCATTCTCAGTGCTATTCCAGGCTCCACTCCTCCGGGAAGTCAGTACCACCCAACCCCAGCCTCCTTCCCACAGCAGCCACCTTCGGTCTGGGATGAGCTTGTCGGTCCCCTCACCCCCACTCCTGCCTCCGCCCCCGGTGAGCTGGGCAGTTCTCCAGAAGAGGGCCTGGGAAGTCTCGTCCCTCTGGTCTCCCCAAGGCGCCGGTCTGCAGAGCACAGGGACAGGGGCCGAGCGATGCCTTCTCAGAGCCAGGCCAGCGCCCTGGACACCCCCATCCCCAACTTACGCGTAAAGGCTGGAGCTCGGATCCCTCAGGCTCGGACCATGCCCTTCGTCCTCCTCACGCCCCGGTACGCCCTCCGCAGGTACGCCCCAACCTCCGCGCAGGCGACTGAGCGCAAGAGATGGACTAAAAGCAAACACAGAGCGGTAGCTATTCGGCCCGACATCAAGAGACTCCGGCGGGACGCAGGAAGGACTTCCCGCCCGGCTCCCGTTTCTCCCGCAGCCACGACCCGCGCACCGCCACGGTCCAGGGACGGTCTCGGGGGCGGCGCCCCGCGCGGAGCCAGCCTGGGCTCCGGGTTCGAGGCGCGCCCTCCCTCCCGCCGGCCCGGGAGCGCCCGCGCCGCACAGGAGACGGGGGCACACAAGGAGAACGTTCCCCTACCTCCCGAGCCTGCGTCCGCACGCCCCGCAACTACCCTCCCCGCCGGCGCCAGACCACCGCGGCGCGAGGCAGCACCGGCACCGGAAGCCCGCGCCCCGCCTCTGAGAGCCGGCGGGTTCCACCTGCTCACCGGCCTCCGGCGGGGGCGCGGCCAAGCTCGGCCGAGCCCTGACACCACGGCAGCAGCCCGGGCCGCTTGACATTCACACACGTGGATAAGTAGAGTCACATGATGCTCTAGGATTTTCAAGCTACCTTTTTCTTGATATCTCTCGGATTTTAAGATCTGACGGAGAGAAGTATTCCCCCCCCCCCATTTGGACGAGTCCATTCCCTCTCACCACCGAGCATGTTGTTGTATTTCGGCTGGAACAACTCACTTCCGCCATAGAGACGAGAGGGAAGGAGAGGCCTGATGGGCTCTGTGCTGCCTCCCCAGGCTGAGAGGAGTCATCGGCAGCGAGCCGGCCCCTGGGACAGAATCGTGGACTCCAACTCTGGGCTCAGAGGCCTGGAAGGGGCACCGATCCCCCAAGAAGAAGGGCATGCTATTTGGAGATGGATCCAGGCCAGTGTGCTGCATGACGCTGAGTGGATGGCAAAACTTTAGTTTGTCCAATATGCTTAATAAACAGGATTCCTGCAAAGATGATGGAGGAGGGGGCTTGACCTTACTCTGTATCTTCACACAGGAGCATTGCTTGGCGCTCTACCATGACGGATCTGGTGACAGTTCTTGTAAGACTTGTAATTCTGCCACTGCCTATGTGTCCTTCTTGATGTAATTCATCCTTTCTGATTTCTTCATCTGTAAACAGGGAGCTGTTGTGAGGATCAAAAGAGGTAATTCATATGGAAAACCCTTGTGGACTAAGTGGTATACAAGTCTGAGTGCATTTTAGTGCTGTGTAACTTCCTGGGCGCACGTTTGGTTCTCCACGTAGATTGTAAGTCCAGGGCAAACGGGTTCATCAGTTGCTCCGTTAATACCCATAGAGCCTGGCATGCCCCCAACCCCAACAGGAGGCACTCTTGAGGTGTTTACTTGGGGATGAAGATCTCATTTTCCTGCCATACACTTTCTCTCCCAAAATAATAGTAGTTAACATTTATCGAGTGACATAGAAAGGACATTGTTCTAAGTGCTTTATATATATCAATTAATTTCAGCCTGATACCAATCACTCCTACAAGGAAGATAAAGGAATTGATGCTGGGAGAGGTTAAGTGACTTGCCCAAGGTCACTCAGTAAGTGCTGGAGCCTGGGGTTCAAATGCAGGATTCCTTACCACGGCAGAAGTTCTCTTTCTGGACCCTCCAGCCTGACCGTCCCAATGCGCTGCCATTGTCCAGTACTCCCCTCCCAGCACCTGCTCTCTTGCCTTGATTAGCAGCATTTGCTGCCTTGCTACTATGGCCACTTTCAAGCTACAGGACATCACTGAATGCAGAGTCCAGAATGAATGAACCATGACACTTTGATCATCAGAGGGACAATCGGCTCTCGGGTACCATCTGGCTCCAGCACATCACCGTCACCTACCCACCCTTTAGCTTTCTCTCTCCCATCCAGCTCTTCCAAACCCCCCTATACAACCCCTTCTTCCAACTGGCCTCACCTCCACTGTTCTCCATCTCTCCTTCCTCCCCGTAGTTCTGCCCTTCTGCAGCCTTGATCTCTGGTCTGTCGCTTTCCCAGATGTGGGCACCTCTCCCCAGGTAGCCGCGGAGTACCCCCAAGGCCTGGGGAAGGAGAAAGCTGCCTGCCTTACACACCAGCAGCCTCTTCTGTAGCCTGGACTTAACTGGGACATAATCTCAGAAGAAAACATCCAGAGGGGAGAGTCTGTGAGGAGCTGAAGGGCAGGGAGCAAGGGGGATCAGAACCAGCCCTGGGGAGGGGGAGGAACCAGAGCCCAACTCCCAGAGTCTGCCAGGGGGCGAGAGGAGTGACTGATGTCCCTATCCCGACACACTGGGTCTCAGCGCCCTCCACTGCTACTCTCCTGACATCGTCATCATTGCTACTACCAGTCACTGGGCCTTACTGGGCACCGTGCCAGCACTGCACATGCGCTATTGTGTTGATTTCTCCAGCTACCTTTGAAGGGAAATATAATTTCCCCCCAATTTACAGATGATGAAACTGAGGCTCAGTGATCTGTAGTGACTTGCTGTGATGGCTAATTTTGTGTCAACTTAACTGTGCCGCAGGATGCCCAGACATTTGGTCAAGCCCTGTCTTGGGTGTTCTGTGGGGGTGTCTCTGGATGAGATTAACATTGGAACCCTTAGACTGAGGAGAACAGATGGTCCTCCCCAGTGAGGGTGGGCCCCATTCAATCAGTTGAAGGCCCGAATAGAGCAAAAGATCTGACATTCCCTCAAGTAACAGCAAGTGCTCCTGCCTGACTGCGTTCAAGTTGGGACATGGGTTTTCTCCCACCTTCAGACTCAAACTGAAGAATCTGTTTTTGGGTCTCAAGCCTGGCACATTTGGAACTACTTGGATGGAAACTACACCATTGGCTTTCCTGGGTCTCCAGCTTGCTGACTGCAGATTTTGAGACTCGTCAGCCTCCATAACCACGTGAGCCAATTCTTCCTAATAAGTCTCTTTCAATGTATACACATCCTGTTGGTTCTGTTTCTCCAGAGAACCTGATGACTACAACGCCACACAGCTACTCTCTTCACTCCCCCAGCCTTTTTACCCACTCTCGTCCCTACTCCAAAGCTCGCCCTCTCCATGGAGGCTCTCCTGCCTGAGAGGGAGGCTGACCCCTCACCTCTCCCATCTCAGGCCCAGATGCTGGCCAGTCCTTGCCTCCTCTTACCTCTCTGAGTCCTCACAGAGTGGTGCTCATTGCACCTCAGACCCTGAGTTCCATGCCCATCCCGGTGGTCCTGTCAGGGAGAGAGGGTCTTGGCCAAAAGCGTGAGACTGTGTGGAATGAATTCTCTCAGCCTATGCCACTTCCCCGATGATCAAGATGTAATCATTCATTCATTCATTCATTCATTCAGGCCACATGTATGTAACTGTCCACGTACCCGGCCTGTGGCATACCAAGGTGGACAAGTCACAAGACTCGGAGGAGTCTTGGCTCCTCCAGAGCCTCATGGGGGAGACGGCCCAGGAGATACACCTGGGCCAGAAAACACGACAGATTGTGTGGGAAAGGGCAGCAGGTTTTGCAGAAGCCAGAGAGGGCCAGGATGGAGGCCACTGCTGTCATCCCAGAGAGAGGCCTGGGCCTGGAATAGAAAGTGACACACTCAGAGTGCAGAGGAGTCCCAGGCCCTGCTCCCAGCAGGTTGGGAGGTGACTGGGCACCACAAAGCAAAGTGAGACGGCGGCAGAGACACAGGAGAGCGCGTGAGGAGCTGGGCGGGAAGCAGGTAGTGATTCCAGGAAGAAGTGGGACTGGGGGGAGTTCTTCTGGGGAGGTTTCCTGGGGAAGCGGAAGAAAAAGAGCTCAGGGGAGAGGTCCTACAGAGGGCTGTGGGTGGAAACAGAGGGTTCTGAGGGAGGAGAGGCAAGGACAGAGAGCAGACTTCTCAGTGAGAGCCCAGGCCAAGGCCAGCCAGGCAGACAGGCTACCGGCTGAGGCCCTCCCAGCCACGCCTGCAGCGCAGGCCTGTGGAGGGACATCGAAGGCCAACCCAAGACTTGGGAGTAGGCAGCTGGCTTTGCAATGGTGAGTGTGGTCTCAGATGGCCCCACCCCATCCTAGTGTGTGCCCCAGGAGAGCTGAGCCCTGAGGCTGGCCCTGCAGGCCACCCCCAGCCTCTCCAGAGCTGACCCCGGTGGCGTCACAGGGAGTGACTCAAGCCAGAGCAACAACAATGAGTGGGACTGACGTCAGGCTGGGGGCTCCTGACGGTCTTCAGCCTGGCTGGGGAGCCAGCTCCCTGCCTGCTGACCCTCCAGCCTGGCCAGGCCGCAGGGGTGAGGAGGACCAGCTGTCGCCTTCTGACATCTGCCCCCTGGGATCCTGGGCAGGGGCTCCTTCGCCTCCCACCCTTTCTGGGTTGTCACTCCCAGCCCCCCTCCTCTGAGGCAGAGGAAATGGCTGGGCGGACGAGAGAGTGGCAGAGAGCGTGAGAAAGAGGCGCCTCCCAGCCCCAGCCTCATCAGGCAGCCTCTAGACCTGGGCCAGGCAGGAGGTGGCGCGCCTGTGCCTATTCTCCTGGGGGATGTGGGAATCTGTCCTTGCGTGGTACGGAGGGTGCTGTCTCTTTCTCCAGGAAGGTCCATAGGTTTGTCTCTCTGACCAAGCTGGAGTGAGCGTGGGGCTTTATGTCTGTGTCTGACCCTCAGGGGTAAGGAGGTCGTCTCTCCTTCCTGCAAGGTCTGCGCATCTGCTCCTCTGGGACACGTGTGTGCATCTGTTGTTTGGGGCAGAGGATTCAGTGTGACTGTCCTTATCGAAGGAGAGGGCTGTTCACCCACCCTAGTTGGGGGGACTCCCCACCGACCCCTGGGGGCTGCTCTTGTGTCCTGGTTTCTTGTAGGTCTACCTTCAACATATTCCAGTTACCTGGGAGGGGACCCAGGACTCCTGCTTGGTCTCGCCCAAGGCTGGGCTCCCCGGATGGGGGCCCCTTGCTCTGATGTGCCCAGATCAGGGCAGTGATGGTCAGCACGCCACCGGCCTGGCTTGCAGCTGGGCACTGCTCCCTGCTAACGCAGCATGTACCAGCACAGGGCCCCCCCGCACTCCCCTCCCGTCCCAGCTGCCACCCCCAGCCCCCGCGGCCGTGCCAGGCTTGATTTATGGTCCTGAGTAGGAGCTGGACAGTGCCAGCTCCTGGTTCAGACCTTGAAGGAGACCTCAAGTGCCCCCCACCTCGCCTGGCAGGGTCAGGGCCCAGCAGGCAGCGAAGAGGAGCCAGGGTGGTGAGGAGGATGACTGGAGCATGAGCCTAGGCGTGGGGGGCAGGAGGCAGAAGCCAAGGCCAGAGCCTCCACGGCCCCATAGCCCTCGGGCCAGCTCTAAGTCCAGCTGGGGCCCCTGGAATGAGCTTCCTGTCCTCAGATGTCCCTGCTCTGTGGGGAAGGAGGTATCGGGGGTGGAGAGGGGTTTTCCTCGGCCTTGCACGAACTCCTTCCAGTCCTCACCACAGGGGGCTGGAGTTTCAAAGTCCCACAATCCAGCCTAGGCCTTACCCAAGTGCCCGCAGAAGCCGGAGCCTGGAGCAGGGGTGGAGGCCGAGCTTTGGGGCTGGGTTCTGGCTGCTCCAGGGTAGACAGAGCAGCTGCCAGCAGAGCTGTGGGGCTACAGGGCCAGGCCCAGACAGGGCTGGACGGTGGATAGACAGAGGCTGACCCCTTCAGCCTCATCTTCTGAGGTGGCCCTGGGGTCTCTGCTGCAGGCAGGGTCTTGAGGGGGCCGGGGCTAGTCCAGAGTTAAGCTAAGACTCCCCAGGAATCCCCAGGGCCAGCTCTTACGTGAGGGGGACCCAGTTGTCCCTCAACCAGGACATGCCCAACACAGCTACCTCATGAAAGGACGTCACTAGCAATCCGCTGACTGTCGGGCCACCACACAGCAGCCTCCCACCTCTGACAGGCTCCCCTCTGCAGCCAGAGAGCCAGCTACCACACAGCCGGGGATGCTGGACGCTCAGAGACAACCGCGTGGCACCGTACAGCTCAAATACAGAGTGATTGCCTGCGACCTTCAGAAGCTTCTTGGCCTCCTTGAGGCCAGCCCTCGCCATCTCCCTTCTTAAGGCCCAAGCCCAGGTGTGGGACAGCTTCCTCCATCCCTGGCCCCGGGGAAGAGCCATCAGGCACAGACCCCTGGGGTGTCGAGCCTCTACTCAGACCCTAGACCTCAGAGCCACCTCTCCTCAGTCACAGTGGCACCTCAGGGCTGGGGAGGGGGCCAGGGCCTCTGGGCACGGGGCCTAGCGTGGGTGGGGTGGGGGGAGACAGAGAGGCAGCCTTCCTGGGTCTCCATATGAGGACAAACAGCAGGCTTTGAGGCCTCGGAAAATCCCGCCCGGGATTCCAGGCTCTGCCGGCGTCACTGCCTTTTGACTATTGTCCCCGTCGGAAACGGGCCCTGCCCCCGGCCAGCAGGGACAGAGCGACCATTGTGAGGCCCCACCGGGCTCAATGCCCCCTTGTTCGCCCTCCTGGCCCCTAGCAGGACTCGGAGGCCAGTTCTTCCAGTTGCTCAGTGGAAAGAAGGGGCCTGGCCTGGGGCTGCAGCCCTTGGGTGGGGCAGGGCGGGGCAGGGCGGGGCTGGAGAAATTAGCCCCCCAACCCTGCACCCCAGTCACCAGAGTCCTGGAAAGGAGGAAAGGAGCCACCATCCATGGAGCTGCTTCTATTTACAAGGCCTGGGCAGGGAGACCTAGTGGTTAAGTAGTTGGACACACCCAGCTCAGCAGCGGAGAAGCCAAGTGACCTTGGGAAAGTCATTTCCTTTCTCTGAAATGAATTCTCCTCTTGAGTAAAAACAACAGCTATTCTTTATTAGATGCTTGCTATGTGCCCGGCATTGTCTGGAACACTTTGTATGCATTCATTCACATAATCATTATAGCAACTTTATGAAATAGGTACAATTATTTTCCCCATTTGTGGAGGAAGATGCCAAGGCACAGAAGGATTAAGTAACTTGCCCCAAATTCCACAATGAGAAAGAACTGGAACCAGGATTTAAACTCAGGCAGTCTGGTTCCAGAGTCCTTGCTCTTTCCCGCTCTGCTGTGCTGCCTGCCTGTGAGGTGGGACGACCACGCTTTCCTCACAGAGCGGTATCGAGGGCTAGAAATGACGAATACTGTACGAACAGGACCCAGTAGGTGGCAGAACACCATACACAGTAGCTATTGTCATCACTGTGTGACTTAGAGATCTGTAGGGACCAAGAGTCTCCATTTCCCCACCCCACTCCTGACCCTCAGCCCCTCCTCAAACACCTACGTGGTCCTTTTGCCTTCCCCAAGGGGCTGCCTGGTGCTCCATATCTGTCTGTGCTAAAGGCAGGGACATGGGAATGACCCAAAGAAAGAGGGACTCAGTCTAGCCAGAGCTGATGGGAGATTTCCCAGCAAGCTCTGCTCCTGACCAGAATGGTGCCACCAGACTCACCTCCCCACTGAACAGATGGGGAAACTGAGGCTCGGGGAGGAGGAAGGGCTTCTTGGGGAGCAGCATGGAGTCGGAGGCAGGGCTAAGAACGGAAGATCTCCTGAACCCCGCCACCCCCCGCCTTGCCAAGTGCTGGGGCTGCGACACAGGCTCACTCTGGGGCTCTGGAGGGGGTGCCACGGACAGATGCTTGAAGTCCACACACTGCTGGGATGACAGTCACCATGGGTCAGCACAGGGCCCAGGACTCCCCAGCACACCCACACGGGGACCCTTCAGAAGGCTGGGGCTGGACTGTCTTCCCAGAACCCTATGAGGGCATGTGGCCAGGGGCTCCTTGGGGAACCTGCAGGCTGTGGCTGGAGCCCTGGCGTAGGCCCTGATTCTGTCCCACTCTGAAGCAGACCCTATTTTGATCAATCCCCAGCCAGCAGGGGCTGCCCCCATCCAGCCAGTTGCCAGAAACTGTGCAGATGGAGAGTCAGGGGTCCTGGGCCAAGGGCTGTGAGGAACAAGTGTGAGGGGCACTGCTTTCAGGGCTCCTACCGGTTCCTCAAGGAGGAAACGATGAGGCTGGATGGGCACTGAGCAGAGTGAAGGGGACTGGACCCCGCATGGTGACCAGCTACCTTGGGCCTCAGGTTGGGGCTGATCTAGGTTCTTGTTTCTCAAAAGATTGGCCCCCAGACCACCTGCATCACAAGCAGCTGAGTGCATGGCAAAAGTAGACTCCTGGGCCCCACCCCTCACCAAACCCAAGTCCCTGGGGCAGAGCCTAGGAATCTGCATTTAAGTCAGCTAAGCAACTGAGAGCTGGGGGGGTAGGAGAACCTATGCGGGGCACTGGGGCACAGGGAGGGGCCTCAGAACAATCGTCTTGCCAAGAGGGCAGGGGCCACCAGTAACTTGGGTCCTGTGGCTGGGGCGCTAGGCGAGTGGGGAGGAATGTTGAAAACAGGGATGGAAAAAAACTGACAAAGTAACAGCGGCCGCTAGCGCCATTCGGGGCCGCCCTGTCCCCAGCCCCGTGGTAAGCACCACACACACTCCTGTGATCCCAGTGGCAACGTGAGGCAGGGTACGCCCCTTCCCTGTGTTGCAGGCGTGGAAGCCGAACCGGAGACCATCCTCCCAGGTTAGGAATGGGGACGGCCAGAGCAATGCTCATCCCTCAGCGTCGGTGTCCGCGCAGTCTCCATCCTGGAGCCAGGCCTGTCATTAGAGGCTTTCTGCGGAGCAGCTGCCATTACGATCCAGCTTTTACAACTGAGTAGACTGAGGTCTGTTAGCTTAGGCTACTGACACCCATGATTTACGGGGAGCCACCTCTGTCTCTGACGTAATGACGGGGTGTGCGGGAGGGTGTCAGATAGATGGGATCCCAGTTTCAGCTACATGTCTATTTTTTATTCAATATATTAAATATATTAATCAGAAAAGTCACATACTATAAATCCAGGAAAATACACAAATATAAATGTCAGAATCTGTCATTTGTCTTCCTCCTAGAGTAAGTTTATGTACATGTGGAAGGAGGCTGGGAAGAGAGAGCGAGGAGGAGGAGGCTGGGACAGGCCTGCCCAGGCTGCTGGGGGCCCACCCCTCCCTCCTAACCCCGACTCCCACCTCAACCTCTTCCTTCCCGTATTTACAGCAGCATTTGGCTTATTTACAGCACGGTGGTGTGTGTTAAAAACGGTTTATCTTACAAAAACATGAAGGCCAGGACCGGGCTTGGGGGGTAAGACATATAGTAGGGGTCACCCTGTGAATGCACTCCCTTCCCCAGGGCGTGAGCTCCCTGCCGATCTCCCAGAGTGAGTGGCGAGGCCAGCCAGTCTGCAGCCCAGACCAGGGGGTGGTGGTCCATGGGGGTCTGTGGGCCATGGGCGAAAGGCACGTGGGGTGGTGTATGAGCATGCACACACAGTGCACGCGTGTCCCCGGGCTGGGGTCAGAAGGGCAGCGTGTCCATAAAGATCTTGTCGACGATGGGTGGAGGGGGCACCAAGTCCTCCAGCTTGAGGTAGAAGATGCGCTGCAGGCCCTGGGTGCACAGGGTCCGCAGCTCGGGCAGCTTGCCCAGCAGGCGTGACAGGCAGCTGGCCGGCTGGGGCTCACCCGCCACGGCCGAGACGTGCTCCTTCAGGCAGCTGGCGATGCGGTTCTGCAGCTCCTCCACCCGCCGTGGCTCCTGCAGCCCGTGCCGCTCTGAGGAGGGTGCAGGATTAGCCACACATCTGAGGACCAGACCTCCCCCGAGACCCGGCCCCCTGCAGGTCTCTCAAACTCCTGCCACTGACCTTACGCTTCACTGGCTGTTTTTGCAAAAGCATGTTCTCACACATGAGCCCATTGCTGATCCCCATCAGCAGTCTAGGAAGTGAGTAATGCTCATTACCCTCATCTTCCAAGGAAGAAACTGAGGCCCAAAGAAGGTAAATGACTTGCCCAGGGTCACGAAAAAGACATAAAATCCTAAGCTTGGCTTTCTGACTCAGCCAGTGGGTTTTTTCCTCCAGACTCTTCCATTCTGAGAAGCCCTGGAGCTGAACAGCAGTGTTTTCGAGGCCACCCCCAGGGAAAGATGGCCCCAAAACCCACCACTCATTCTTCGCCCAGAGTGACTTGGACTTTATCCTATATAGTTGGGTCCCCTGTGAAATTTAAGTAGAAAAGGGATGGGGGCAGGTTCTGGTGCTTTACAAAATAAGAAGAGAGATCTGAAAAGCTCCACATTTAACACCAGAGTCACCCTGCGCCGCCCGCCCCCCACATAATTCTATTTACATAAAGGACACAGAGGTGCAGCCAGCCTGTGCTGTCAGAAGTCAGGGCAGAGTCACCCTGAGGGCTGATGAGGAAGATGCACAAGGAGGGGTCTGGGATACTGGTCACGTCTTGATCTCAGTGCTGGTTACACAAGTGTGCTTAGCTAACGAAAATTTATCCTTTGTGCACTTTTTGTGTATAATAAGATTCAGTAAGATTTTAAAGACACACCAAGACCCTACGCCACACATGACACCATACAGTCCGGATCTCGGGTAGCCTGGGATAATTCACAGACTGGCGTGGGCTTTGCAGTCAGACGCAGCTGGACCTGAACTGCGGCTCTGCCGCCCACCAGCTGTGTGGCTCTGAGCAAGTGCATGCCCCTCTCTGTGTCCAGTTGCCCTCACTTCACAATGCAGGGGCCCAGGAAGTGCTAGATGCCAGCCCGCCGCAACTTGGGATGGTGCCCTCCTGAGGGCCCAGCTTGGTGCTGGCCACTCACCTGTGATGAGGACAAGCGCAGAGAGGCAGGCGAAGGCAGGGACGTCGACAACCAAGCTGTGCAGGGACCGGGAGAAGGCCAGGATGCTGTCGATCCAGTCGCCAAAGCCGCGGGCGCACTGCAGCCGGTGCAGCACCAGGCCCGAACAGAAGATGAGCTTGCCCTCGGCCGGCTTAGACCTGGCAGGTGGGACGCAGACGGCGGTCAGCAGGGCTCGGGGGCAGGTGGCAGGGGAGGGGCCGAGCGGACAGGGGGCAGCTCACCGGTAGGCCAGGCGGAGGATGAAGAGCTCCAGGAAGGCCGAGTCCAGCAGAAGGTCCTGGTCGCCTGGCGAGAGTTCGGCAAAGCCGGGGATCTTCTCGGCCCACTTGCGGATCACCTCCAGGGAGGCGGAGAGCAGGTCGTAGAACTGCTGCACGTCCCCAGCGTCCTCCTTGCCGAAGTGGGGCAGCACCAGCTCCTGGAACTAGAAGAGCGGTCCAGCTGGGTCAGCACCCCAGAAAGCGCCCGCACCAGGGCCACGGGGCACAGCCGTGTCATGTGCTCAGATGCCAGATCCCGGGGAAGAGAGAGTGGGACCGACAGTCCGCCCACGCTGGCGCTCGCCAATTCTCACGTATTAACCCAGGCCCATGGCTGCTGGAAGGAGCACATTTTTCTAATTAGCCACCCACCCGAGGGGGCACATTTTCCCATCTGGTCAGCCCAGAGGGGGCTCCTCATTTTTCAACTTGTCGGACTGGAGGGGGGCCTTTTCTAACGGGCACGGAGGCGCTGGATGTGGGGAGGGTGGGCCTCACCTTGGAGTAGTCCAATTTGGCCGTGCTGGGCCCCGAGTCCAGGTGCGCCCGGACCAGGGAGGTGAGGAGATTGGCAGGGGAGGCATCAGGGGGCTGCTTAGGCTTTGAAGGGAGCCGTCCCCGCCGCCCTTTCAGGCTGTCTGTCCGGACCACTGCAGAGAAACAGGCGGGGGGAGGAGGGGACTCAGCGCTCGCTGTGCACACCCATGCTGGGAAGTACCCCCGAATCCAGACCTAGAGCCCCAGAGAGCCAGCAGACCCGACAGGGACCTCCCCGCAGTAAGCCAGGCAGGTGGACTGGAGATGGGGTGGAAATAAGGTCCAGGCACGGTCTCCCCTGCAGCCCAGCCCACGGGCACAGATGTCCGGGGGCCTCTGCCTGCCCCACCCGCCTCAGGCCTGCCTGTCCCTGCCGGCCGGTCCCAGCCACCCACCTTCCTTCACCATGCCCACAGCCAGGCACTTCTGGAAGCGGCAAAACTGGCAGCGGTTTCGCCGCCTCTTGTCCACAGGGCAGTCCTTGTTAGCCAGGCAGATGTACTTGGCGTTTTTCTGTACTGTGCGCTGGGGGGGGGGCGACACGGAACAGGCTGTCAGAGGGTGGGGTGGGGAGGGGGGAGCCCAGGGGAGAGGACCGTCCAGATCCTGCTGCCATCGCAGACAAAAGCTCTCTCTGTTCACAGCTATTTTTCTAACATTTGGGTGGCAGGGGAGGGAGAGATGAAGGGGTGGGGGGAGGAACAAGAAAGTCTTGGGGACATTGGGGGTGGTTTCTGCCTCCAGAGAAAGACCCTCAGGATGTAAGATATGGGGCAGGGGCTCCCCAGCAGCCCAGACACCTGTAGTCCTTAATGTGCCTGTGTCCACCTGGCCCTTCCCTGGGGCAGACAAGAGAGGGCCAAGGAGGGGCGGGGGTGGGGACGGAAGCTAAGCAGGCACCCAGCACTGGGACAAACACACAGCCTGTTCCTGGGTCCACCCCCAGCCCTCAAGCACCAAGCCTCTTCCCAGGTCTTTTCATCTCATGCCAGGGACACGAGTGCCCTTCCCACCAGGACCTTGGGTGGGGGAAGGACAGGCAGAGGAAAACCAGAGCTGCCACTGGAAGCTCCCCTCCTGGGCAGCGCTGTGGCCGGCACCCTCTGCCCACACCTCACCCCTCCCTCCATCTCACTGCAGTGTCACTTGCCCTGCATACTCCGCTGCAGGAGAGGTCCCAGCCCCCTGCCAGCTCGGGGTCCCCAGGAGGGTGGCCCACGTGGCATGCTGCCCCCTTCCTGAAGGGCAGGACTAGCTGGGAGGAAAACCCAAGAGAGGCTCCCACAGACCCCGCTGGGATGACAACGGCCCCTCCGCACTCCTCACGCAAAGCCGCCCCAGGCAGCCCAGTACCTTGAAGAAGCCCTTGCAGCCCTCGCAGGTGCGGACGCCATAATGCTGGCACGAAGCGTTGTCCCCACACACAGCACAGCGGCCCTCGCTTCCACCCGGAGCCCCACTTCGGGCCTTGGCGGAGGTCACGGGCGCATCCAGCATCCCCGAGCCGTCCAGGTGTGGAGAAGTGGGCACCAGGCCTGGGAAAGCCGCCGGCATGGAATAGCTCTCTCCCTCCCCCAGCTGGTGGGTGGCCTGCGAGGGGAACAGCTTCAGGGGACTTTGGGCCAGGCTGGGGCCCGTGGGAGGGCTGAAGGAAAAGAAGGCCGGCGGCTGGGGGGGCCCAGAGGCCTTGGGCAGCTGCTCTGTCCATGCCCGCAGGCCTTCATAAGTCTGGCTAGGTGAGAAGGGGCCGAATGAGCCGTCCCAGGGAGAGAGCTGGGGCGGCTGGAAGCTGGGCGTGGAGGGTGACGGGGCTGAGCAGGGACTGCCGTAGTAGTCAGAGCCGCTGGAGGACAGGGTCTCATCCAGGGGGCCGCTCAGGGTGCCGGGGTAGCAGCCGTACACCTGGAAGTCCTCGAACTTGAAGGAAGCAGAGGCGGGGGAGGTGGCTGAGGACGAGGACGTGGAAGAGGCCGAGGAAGAGGCTGAAGAACAGGGCTGGGCTGTCCCCGGCAGCTGGTAGAGGAAGGTGTCAAACTCCCCTGTGTACCCATCCATGAAGGTGCTGAAGCTGGGCAGGGCGGTGGGGGCCGCCTCGGGGCTGGCCAGGTCCATGGCTGGCTTGCTGAGCTCAGGGCTCAGGGAGTCGCTTGCAAGGTGGTCACGGGGTCCTGGGCTCGGTGCTGGTGTCCCATATTGGGCTTGGATACAGGGCATCTCTGGAGAGGGAGGAGACCAAAGGGGTGGGAAGGAGTCAGTGAGAGAAGCCTGACCTCTGAGTATAGGCCCTGAGCAGTCAGGTGGCAGGAGTCGCAGCCAGACATGGGACACAGGCGTTAGGGCCACGGCCCACCGAAGAACCCAGGAATCCTGGCCCCTGGCCCGAGCACCATCTCGCCCTCCATGTCACAAAGCCCTTGGGCAATGGCCCAGTGGAGAGTGGGCTCAGTCGGAAGGCCAGCCACACCCCAGGCAGCCTGGGAACCCTGGTGAAGGCATCCAGCCAGCATTTCTCTGCTGGAACAGGGGGAAGCTGTGTTCCTCCAGCCCCTGCCCTCCCTCAGTGGGTAAGGCATGGGTAGTGGCTGAGAGAAGGGTGGGTGGGAGAGGCAGCCACGCAAAGCCTGAGCCCAGGCCCCGGGAGCAGATATGTGGTTTCTCCAACCTGGCACTTGTGGGACTATTCCCAGGCATGGCCCAGCCTCTGCAAAGCCCCCTCTCCTCCTCCCTCCAGTGCCTGCGGAGAAGGACACTGTGAAAATGGAAGAGGAGCTGGGAGTGAAGCCCCAGCCGCCTGAGAAAGTGGCTTAAGCAGCATGGAGTCTGTCCCCCACTCCTGCCCGCACCCTGAATACTGAGCAAAGGCTGCAGATCCCACGCGCACCACGGGCCTTGCCATCTGGGGATGGGCAGCCACTCTGTACTGCCAGGGATGCTCCCAGAAGCAAAGAGAAAAGGAGCCCAGGCCCCTCACTCGGTCCCTGGCTCCCCAGGGGATCGGGTAACCTGGCTGCAGACATTTAAAGGCCATATGCTGGAGAGAGGCCGAGAGGGGGCAGGAGGAGGAGGGATCAGCCCCCCCAGACTTCCAGGAGAACAGATAGTCCCTAAGAGAAATTTCTCTGCTGCCCCCAACACTTTTTTCCTTGTTATTTTTATAAGAGAACTCTGAGAGTCCGGCAGAAGACTTGAGGCAGCTGTGCAGGGAGGAGAACGGGCCCGCTGGTGGGTGGATGGTGGGCATCCTGCCCCTGCCCAGGTCCCCCCACTAGAAAGTGTGCCCTGAAGAATTCAGCAGCTCAGGCAAAGGGGCTTACACCTCCCAGTCCTGAGGAGCCTGAAGAAGCAGAGATAGCATCACACAGGGGGATCCTTAAGTTTGCAGACTGGTCAAAAAGTAACACGGAAGAGGCTCCGGGACAGTTTCCCATCCCCACTCCATGCCTGGGGTCTGCACAACTCTGGCTTCACCAGTCAGGGAGGGAGGCTGGGTAAGAAAGCAAGCTGGAACAGAGAGTGCCATCATCAAGGAGGACAGTGGGAGGGGGCAAAGGTTGGCACTACCTCCTGGCTAAGAGCCCAGGGAGTCCTCTGGTCCTAGCCTTTCTCCCACCTGCATGGGCCCTGGACAGGGCAGCTGCACCCCTGGCCTGACACTCCCACAGTCAACCCAGACAGCAGAGCCCCTCAAGCTCTGGCCCCACCCGCCCAGTGGTGCCCGTCCACAGGCATACAGCACCTGCGAGATAAGGGTGGCCACGTCTGCCTGCACTAGGACAGCCTGGGCAGGGATGGGATTGGGGTGGAGGAGGAGAGGTGGCAGCCACGCAGGGCTGGGCGTTCCAGCCTTATTCAAATCCTGTTTCTCCACTTGGACGTCCCACATCCGGATCAACCTCCACTAACCTATCCCCCCCCACTCTGTGCAGGTACTTAAGGACAACGCAAGATATGGACCTACATCTAGCCTGGGGGCGGGGGGTGGGGGGGGGGGGGAGCCGTCCCACAGAGAGGAGGAAGAGGCGGGGTTGAAGGAGGGAGCGGGGAGAATCCGGCTTCAGGCAGGTCCTGGCAACAATGTGGTTTGCACCTGTTACGCTGAGCAAGCCTCAGACTGCACCCTACCTGTGTGATCCACCAGGGACTATGGGCAGGGGGGTCCTCCATAGTACCGCACCAGAGACTCCAAAATTAGCACCTCCCATCCAGGATCCCCAAGGACCAGGGTTTCCACATATCACACACACACACACACACACACACACACACGCGCGCGCGCGCGATCCAAGCTACAGCCAAAACAATCTTCCTTGTGCTTCCAGAGACCCTGCTCCTGCCCCTAAGAAGACTCGCTTATTCCAGGACAGCAACATCTCCTCCACAGTTCAGCCACCAATGCTGGCCATTTCCTTCAGCAATCCAGAGGTCTCCCAAGACAGTTCTGGCAGAAACTTCAGGCTAGGAATCCCTGCAAACTGAGCCACAACCTCTAAATTGTTAAGAAAACAACTAGGGCCATGGGGAGGGGAGCTGACAAGCTGGAAGGAAGGAGATCCTTTTGGAAATCCAATCCTGTAGAAGTCGGATGGATCCCAGCATCCGAAGCCCTGCGTGCCTTCTCCCCCACTGTACTGAGACCCCCATTAGCACCTCGGTGCAGGGCGCAGTGTGCCCACTTAGGCACCCTGGGAGACTGAACTCCCGCCAGCCTCCTACTGGACAAGTCCCCACTCCTGGCGCCAACCCTCACCCCCTGCGGCTTCCACCTTGCACAGACACTCCCCCACACCCACCGCGCCCAGCAGACTCCAGTCCGATCTGGGTCCTCATCCCGTTCCAACCACTCCCCCGCAACACCAGAGCTGCACCCTCCCCGAGCCCTCCCGCATGCAGCCCCTACAACATCCTTTCTGCTCGCGCGTACACCCATCTCCTTCATGCAACATCCCTAAAAACCAAAACAAGAGTCCTGCTGAGACGCACGCTCCCCGCGGGGGCACCTACCCGGCCGGCTCCTGCTCCCCCTGCCCGGGACCAGCGCCCCGAGTCGCAGCCTTGTCCCGCGTGCGCTCCGCCGTCCTGCACACTCCCCAACTTTCGCAGCCTCCGCCACTGGGGCTCCCCGGCCGAGCCCGACCCTCCTCTTAAGCGCTCCGTGACGCACGGGGAGGGGCGGGGGCGCCGCTGACGCACGCGGCCCGGCGCGCTGTGGCCATACAAGGGCGCGGGGGGCGGCGCGGTTCCGGCGGGAGGCGGCCAGGGGGAGGCGCGGGCCGGGGAGCCCGAGGGGGCGGGGCGAGGGGGGCTGGAATGTCTGCGCGCGTGACGCACGCGGGGTTCCATTGACGCAGGGAGCGCGGAGCGTTTGATCTATAAATAGGCCCCTCGCGCCTGCCGCGCCGGCTAAAAATAGCAGCTCGCGGACTCTCGCGGCTCCCCCCGCCGGTCCTCGGACCCGGCCCGGAGCCCCCAGGGCCCGAGAAGAGGGCGCTCGAGAGCCCTGCCGCGGGGCTTCCCCGACGAAGAGCTCACCCTCCGGCTGCTCCCAGGAGCCCCGGCCGCGCCCGTCCCTCCGGCCCCGCCTTTGCACCCTCCCAAGCCCTTCCTGGAGGCCTGGGGGTCGCCCTCTGCCGCTGCTAGGCGGCCAGGGCAGGACTAGGGCTGGCAAGTAGGGAGTTGGCCTGGGGAACCAGCGCCCCCACCTTAGGCCAAGGAGCAGCCTGTGCACTTGACCGGTCTTCCTCAGCACGGTCTGGGTCTGAGAGGTTGCCCCAGGCATGTCAATCAGAACCCTACCCCCCCCCCCCCCCCCCCCCCCCCCCCCGCCCCGGGCTTATTCCCTCCCCCCAATTTCCCATGCAAAGTACCTTCCGGAGGGCAGGGGTTTGCCAGACCAAGATGGGCCAATGGGCTCTGCTCCACTCGCTGAACTTGATTTCTCCCCAGTCCCTTACAGGGTGAGTGCACCTAGCTGGGAAACTACCGAATTTCAGAACCGGGTGGAGCCTGAGAAATCTTTTCGAATTTGTGCCGACTCTTCCCCATTTTATAAATAAACAGGCTCAGAGAAATAATAGTACTTGCTCAATGTCACACAGCGAAGTGGCGGCACACTGGGGAGGAACCCAGGGCCGCTGCCTGCCTCTCTAAGGGCTCTCTCCCCGTCCACGATTAGGGAGTACCCACACTCCCGCCTCACCTCCAGCACCTGTGGGCAAAGCAGCTCTGAACCGCCCCGTGGAGGGGGAAGGGCCTGCCAGGGCTGGATCCGAGCAAAGACCAGCCTGCAGCCACCTGGAGCCTTCTCTGGTCTGGCTGTCACCCCTCTACCCCCATTCTGCCCCAAGCCTGGGGAGCCCTCACCAGCAGGTAAGAGAGGACGAAAGAAGGGCTATATTTAGAAGGAGAAGAGAGCCCCCCTACACTGGGGCTCCGCCCAGCCCCCTTCTCCTCTGTAGGTCAACATGAAGCATTTCTGCTCACTGAGCCTGCAGCCTGGACCCCACTCTCCGCTCCTCTGGTCACCCCACAGCACTTCCCTCTACCCTTGAGGCACTTCCTGCCCCTCACTTCCGCCCTCCCGTCCCATCTCAGGTTTCCCACACCCTTGTCTCCAGCCCCCACTTCTGCCCACTCAAAGGTCCCACCAGCATCTCCAACTTGATCCGTCCCAGACAGAGCCTGTCATCGCTGCACGCCCTGCCCGCCACCCCATTGCTGCTTTTGATGCCCCATGCGACTTGTCACTTTTTCCTGAAACTCTGTTTTGGAACATCTCTTGGATCCCCCGTTCCTACTGTCAGCTACAGCCCACACCTCACTGGTACCTGAAGGAGCAGACCAGTGACCTGCCCTTGTCCTTGCCTACGCTCATTAACAAAACTGCCCCTTAACAATCTTGTCTTCTCTTTCCAAATCCCACTGTCCACCGCAGATAGCCTTTTGTTTTTTTTGAGGAAGATTAGGTCTGAGCTAACAAATGCTGCCAATCCTCTTTTTGTTTTTCTTGCTGAGGAAAATTGGGCCTGAGCTAACATCCATGCCCATCTTCCTCTATTTTATATGTGGGATGCCTGCCTCAGCATGGCTTGACAAGCAGTGAGTAGGTCCACGCCTGGATCTGAACCAGGCCACCCCGGGCCAACTTAACCGCTGCCACCAGGCTGGCCCCTGGAGCAGTCTTCATGTAACACCAATCTCCTTTAGTGATCTAATTAGAACCTGCCATTGCTCCCGTGTCACAGCATGCAACCTCAGTGTGGACCAGGCTCCAGAGAGCTCTGGCTTTTCCCAAACCATCTTTCAGAGACTCTTCAAGGCCTCCTGGGTGAAGGTGAAGCATGGGCAGGATAAAACAGCTGGGACCCCTCCAGGATCTCCACCCCACTTCAGGCAAAGTTTTGTTTTTCTTTGTCTTGGGCTTTTGCATAAGATTTTGCTCGGAAAAAGCATGCCACAGCTAAAAAAAAAAAAAAAGGGATTGAAACCACTAATATAATTCACATGCTCCCATTTTGCAGATAAGGACTCATGGGTTCCCAGAGGAGCTGCACCTTGCTCAGGAGCACACAGCAAGTCTGGGCTGCTGAAACTGGCCCCAGCCATGTCACGGACTGCCTTCCCACCCAGCCCCCGACCGGGTTCTGGGACGCCTCCCTCCACCTCAGCAGGGCCTTCCTCAGGAAATAAAAACGACTTTAATATGTCAGCAAAAGATCAATAGCATTCCCTCCATCCATCACCAGCAAAACAGGTGTATTATCTGCAGCTTGACCAGTCTGTGCTCCAGCCAGCCATAACGGTTCTTTGAGAGCGGAGCCAGCGTGAGCCCTGGTACCCGCCTTCCTCCCCACCACTCTCCATTTGTAAAAAGCAACACAGCCCATCCCTACCGTCCTGTGCAGTCAGCCCACCCAGGAACCTCAGACAGCTCAAGTGTGGTGAGGAGCTGTCCAGGGCCCAGGCTTAAATCTCTAAATCTCATCATTTAGCCTCCAGATCTGTGCCTGCAGCCCAGACCCCGCCTCCCCGGGTGTTCCAGGTTGGAGGCTGCTGTCTCGCTGGAGGGTGAGGCAATGGCAGCTGCCACCTGGCCGTGCTTGTGGAGGCGAGGACGCTGGGGGGTCTGAACACACTGCACTCTGAAAATAAGTCAATAAGGAGAAAGAGGCAGAGTCCCTCTGTGGAAACGCAGCCAGGGCCACCCATTCAGGCACCCATGTGGAGCACCCAGCCTAAGACAGACGGGAGAGAGGCAAGAGGGGCTTGGGGACCCCTCTGCTGGCCAGAGGCCCTCCGGGGAGGGTGGCCTGGGGCTCTGAAAGGGGTAGGATTTGGCTAAGGTGGAACTCTGGGGAAAGGCATAATTGATGCAGATATTGGGAGGCCTAAATAAGCTGGTCTAAGGTTGGACAGAGACTCCCGAGGGACAGCCAGGTCCAGCCTTCAACTGCACGATCAGAAGGAACAGCCCCTTGAGCGGCCACACAAGGCTCCCACAGCGCGGCCCAGCCACCATTCGGCTCTCATCACCCGCGGCTCCCTGCTGCCCCCATATGAGGACCTTGGGCTAAACCCTCCCACCACCCATGGGCACCTTGCTCCTCTTCCTCTCTTCTTCTCTAATCCTGCTGATCCTCCAAGACTTCAGATCATGGTCCACTCCCAGACCAGCCCAACTCTTAAGAATAAGCACCTTCCTGGAGGGTGGGGGTCATGAGGAACACCAATCAAGGGTCAGACCTCTGCCCAGGGCACTCCATGTGGCTTCTTCCACTTAATCCTCTCCCAGCCTTCCAGGTTTGCAATCATGACCCGCATTTTATAAACAAGGGGATGGAGGCGGGGGGGCAGGACTCTGACTCAGGTCCCCTAACTCCCAGTTTTGTCCTGGACCCACTGCCCTCAACTCTGAACTCCAGAGGCTGTGGCTTCTGGCCCCACAGGCCTGGACAGTGTCCCACAGAGCCAGGTACACACACAGCCTGTAAACAGCAAACAGCGGTGCCTGTGAGGGGGGTCTCTGGTGGGACCGGAAACACTCCAGTTCCCCATCCGGACGATGGTCACCTGGGTGTGTTCACACTGGAAAAGCCATCAAGCTACACTCTTAAGATTTCACATCTATGATTTGTACACTTTTCTGTTTCGTATGTTATACTTTCAGAAATAAAAGTTATACGTAAATAATATAAAAAAAATATAAAATAAAAAATAGCCACACCTAAAGGGGAGAGAGATAGTTACTCAAATGGATGCAGACAGTGCTGGAATTGACTGAATACAAATTCATGCAAGTGTGTGTTCCTGAAATCAGAGAAAAACAGTGGCTGTTTCTCCTTACGTATTTGTTCTAGCAACAAGTACTCAGTACATCTCCAGACAGGAGAAGCTGCGACATCTGACACTAGAAAAGATCCTCACACAGTATGTTTTCTGAACCACTCTCTAGGCCATTGCCCTTCAGTCAAATCCTATGGGCCCGAGGACTTATCTCGCGCTCAGACCCATCCCTCCCCACCAACATGTGCACATGAGGGCAAGGCCCTGTGTCCCCCACCTGCAGGGGGACCCTTCGTGCACCCCCAACAGTAAGTAGCCCAGGGCAGGCCCCAGAAGGGCATCTGGGTCCACCATCGTTCCCCAGCCAAGAGGGCGAGTGTGGAGCGGGGTAAGTGGGATGGAGGAAGTGGAACCGCACAGGCCTTTCCCACGCTGCCCCCGCCTCGGGCTGGCCCCACCGCAGCTGAGCAGAGGGCAGGAACTTGCCCTACTTTTGTCCTTTTACCAGACCACTCCCCTCGACAGCGTCCACACCCTTCCCGCAGGGTGGGCAGAGGGAGCGAGCTCTGCCTCCTCCCACGGAGAAGTGGCCCCGGGAGCTCCCCCTGCTCAGCCCCAGGACCTACTGCCAGCCCTGACCCGGCCACTTCCTCTTCCTGCCCTGGCAGTGGCCAGGGGGATTTGTGCTGTGGCCAGGGAAGCACTGCCTACGGCCTTGGGGGGCCTCCAACTTGGGGGGACCACACTGAAAATTGGCGATGTAGGGTCAGGCCCAGGCCCTGCCACGACCACGTGTGTTGTTACCTCCCTGAAAACAGGCTCCCAAGGACGTGGGGAGGTCAGTCGGTGCCCCCCTGCCCCCACCCCAGCTGTCAGCAGAGGCAAAAGATGGAGGAGCTCTCAGAGGCATCTTTGACCAGGAGCCAGCAAGCCTAGTGTGTGACCTGTAGCCAGTCCTTGCCCTCTCCGAGACCATTTCCTCAGTGGCCTGACGCAGACAACATTGCAAGTCCCTGTGCTGCGAGAATTCAGTTTGTTAACAGAAGGCAGAGGCCCAACAGTGTAACAGAGCACTATCTGGGGGCCGGGACCCCAGGCCCCTCCAGCGGAATCTTGGGATGGCAGGGAAAGGAGCTGGGGGAGCCAGCACCCCCTTCTTCAAGAACTAGAGATAAACAGTAACCCCATCTCCCTCTCTCCCCCTCCAGGGCTGAGGGAAAGGAAATGAGAGTGTGCCTAGAGATGTGGCTCCACCCAGCCGCAGGAAAATTCCAGACTCCGTATGCAGCAAGTGCTCAATTAATACCGTGAAGAAAGCTGGTTAATTAAGGAGGTCAGGCCTCTCTCCACAGAGGTTATCTTCAGTCCAGTGATTTCTTGACCCCCACGCACTGTCAGCCAGAAGGAAGGAACAGACAGCATAAAGGAATAAGATCAGACTTCAGAAAGAACAGCCAGACTGGAAAACGCAGCCAAGATCACAGAGCTCCTTTGGGAAAGGCTGGCGGGCCCTAACTTGCACCCTCCTCAAGTCTCCTTCCGTGCCCCTCAGGCTGCTCAGCTCCTGGCCAGCTCCCCTCTCCTCCACCCTTGGAGGGTCTCCCAACAGCCCTGTAGCACATCAACACCCACCAGATGCCCCTGTCCCTGCCGCAGGTCTCCACCCAGCCTCCTTGGGCAAAATTTCAAATTTCAAAATAAAAACCCTCTGATAACGAGCCCCAGCCGGAAAGACTGATGCATTTTCCTATTGTTAAAGTATTTTTAGTCGCAGGCTCTGGATTCGTTTAGAGACTCACGTTCAGAAAGGGAAAAAAAATTTTTTTTTGAGAACTGAGGAGAGCCTCCCACGTCAGGAGCTGCCACTTATTCCAGGCCGGGCCGAAGCCCCTGGCTCGGGGCCCGCGGAGCGTGTTTGTGGCAGGCTGGTTGGCAGACTCGCCAGATCTCGCTCCAGCCCTGCTTCTCAGGCACCAAAACCAGCTGGGAAGCCAGGCACGGAGAGCAGGACAAGGCTGAGGGCTCAGGGAAGCCAAACCCCGGGTTCAGCCCCCTGGTCCCAACCAGCTTGGGGACCCAGGGACCCCATTCAGGGACCAATGCTGAGGTTCCATGACAGACACCAGCTCACTCTAGCGTCCCTCCACGGCCAGAGCAGACCAGGGCCTGGTCCAGGCCAGGTCGACAAAAGAGAAGCATCTAGACCCTGCTGGAAGTCTCCGAGGAAGGAGAGAGATGGCATCACCTGTCCCATGTTCCCCGGTTCTCAGTCACCAAATGTCGCAAGTCTGACTCCCATGATCCAACTGTGGCCAAGCCTTTCCTCTCATTCCTTGGGGTGGTCGGCCACCCCTGCTTCCCCACGACCCCCACCTCTGCCCAAGGCCAAAGAAAGCACAACCTAGACAGTCACAATGGAAAAAGATCCAAACAGCCCAGCTCCCATGCCTCGGTTTCCCCATTTCCAAGACTCACCAGCTCCCTCCTCACGATCTGCTGACTCTCAGAGATGCTGGACGGCTGCACCACGGGAGAACCCCAGGGTTGGTTGAGGGCCCTTCCTGGCGGCCTCAGGGAGCCCTGCGGGAAGAGATGTGACTGCCTAGTTAGCCCGTCCTGCCTGGCTGAAGCTGTGCACCGGCTGAGCGGGCTCAGGACGCGGAGCCGTCTCCAAGCCAGTGTGTTCTCCTCTGTTTATATAGCCGAAACCAGAGCCGGCCTCTGGGGACAGGGGGAGCTGCTTCAGGGCCCTCTTGGCTGAGGCCTGACTTTGGCCCAGGTCAGCAAGAGCCCAAAATAGTCAGCTGACGGGAGCCCCAGCGTGAGCGTGACCCTGGGCCCGTGCCCAGGCCTGGCAGACAGGTGCCCACGTCACAAGACCAGCAGCTCTAGCACTCATGGGGCCCCGGTTGGCAGCCCCTTAGGGTGGCCTTGGCAGTGTGTCTGGCATGGGAGTTCCACCCAATCGCCACCATCACCCAGACAACAGGGTAACACAAGGAATTCTGTCCCCGGGGACTGCTGTGTACCCAGAGGGAAGGCTGGGTGCTTAGGAGGCTGGGTCTGAGCTGAGGGTAGAGGTGGGGGCCAAGTGGAGGGAAAGACACCTGGCCCACTGCTGTCATCTTCACTCACGTGCTTCCCAAGTTCAGCTCTCCGGCTGACCAGGGACACTGGGAATTCCTCTCCCTGTCCCCAGCCTGAGGTTGGTGGCACAGAATCTGCTGTCAGCAGGAGCCGGTGCACACCCAGCCCAGCCCCTGGAACAGGAGGCCCTGCTTCCCAGGGCTTGTCCTCCTGCCACCCAGGCTCAGACTGGATACCCCATCCTCCCCATCCCAGCCACCTCTCTGGGACTCTGCTAACTCCACACGAGGCAGCAGTGTTTGGGGGTCTGGGGGAGACCCTAAGCCAGCTCTTGCTTCATCCAGGGACCTTTCAAGGCCTGAACGGGGTTGCTGCTCAGAGATGGCCCTCTGTTCTGGGAGGAACCCCAGGGTCCCTGTCCAGAGTGCCAGGTTGAACTCCAGCTTCCTCAGGGAAACACAGAAGCCAGGACTGTGGTGCCCTTGGCCCCATCCCAGTATCTCAGGCCCCCAAGGAAAGACCTGGTGGAAATCTCATTCCCACACTCCACCCCTCACCCACTGATCAGCTTGTACCTTCTCTGGAAGCATCCTCAGGCTCTACTGTCCTCACTATAGGACCTTAAAAGTCACTTCTCCTCCCTGTAACTCAGTTTCTTCATCTGTAAGAGGAGGAGGTGAGCTCAATGGCCGAGGATCCCTCTGGCCACGGCTACAAGTCCGAGGGGTTCCCTATCAGGGATGTCGGATGAACAGTAGAGAGTCCGTCCCTGCCCTTTGTGAGCAAGAGCCTCCCCATTCACAGAGGCACCCCCCCATACCAGACCCCACTGGACTTAAAGGCCTGACATAGTGGGGAGGCGGTGGTCCCCACCCTTTCAGGGAGGGATGGGGTGGTCTTGGCCTTCCCTCTGGTACAGTGTCTACACCCTAGAAACAAGTCAGCTTCCCATCCCCCAAGTCTGCCCCACTGCACTCCCAGCCTTGAGCTCCCCAACCCCACCCCTGCGGCTTCCTGGAACCAGGCACATGCTGTCATCCCCCACCCCCACCCCCCATCCCCTGCCACCAGCCCATGTCACCCGGGCCCAGAGCCCCTCAGCCTATCCGACTAAGAAAATCAGGCTCCTCCCTTCCCCACCCCTGCATCCCCCCCCACTGAAGAAATCAGATCTCCCCATGCTGAGCGCACCTCGCCTGCCACCTCTGCAGGGCTTCCCCCTCCATTCCCCAAGCCACATCCGCTTCAGGCAGTTCCACACCCACCTCTGCCCCCAGCCCCACCTGCTCGGGGGCCCAGGGGGTGTACAAGGGACAACAGCAGAGCACTTACCACTCTGGGTGGACCCACAGAACTTGGACAACACTCAAACCATCCCATGGGCCTTCAGGACACCACAGAGGGGCCGGGGCTGGCCTCTGTCCATGGTGGAAGCCTACAGAGGGAGAGTCAGTGTGAGGGAGGGGAAACCAGCCAGCAGGACTTTCCCTGGAGACAGCACAGCCAGGAAACAGCAGTAGGAACAAGGGCAGGACCCAGGCCACGAGGAGGGGCAAGCCAGCCCAAGGACCTCCCTGGGGTGGGCGTCAGAGCCTGGAGGCCCACACCCCAAGCAAACAGCTCTTGGGGATGTAGGGTGTGGCCAGGAGCTGCCAGCAGCATCTGGCAGGGTTCTCAGGGCCATGGAGACACATGCCAGCACCCAGCCCCTCAGCCTCACACCCCACTTCTGGGTGGGGGTGCCTCAGTCCAGCTCTCAGCCTCGTGAGGTGCACAAAAGGGCATTTTTTAGGCAGAGAAAAGGGAGCTATCGTGAGGACAGAGCAGAATACCCCTTTATTCTTAAGGGGCTCCAACTCGACCCCCAAAACCTCAGAGGCCCCCAAAGGGCAGGGGCGCTATGCCCCATCTCCAGGCAGCCCAGGCTTCTAACCAGAGCAATGGGGCCTCTCAGGAAACCTGTGACGGGACTCCAGTCCCAAAACGAAAAGGCCCAGCTGGGAGGAGAGTGGTTAAGAGCAGGATGCTGGATCCCAGATTGCCCGGGTTCAAATCCTGGCCCCATCACTTGTAACCTTGGGCAAGTTACACAACCTCTCTGTTCTCTGTGCCTCACGTTCCTCATCTGCAAAAATGACAGTCTGTAACGGACATCTCTCGAATGAACAACAAGGGGGTTTCCATCAGGCTTACAATGAGTTAATATGTGTAAAGGACTTAGAACAGGGCCGGAGACACACATGTGATATCATTATTAGCAGAAATTACATGAGGACACACAAAAGCTAACCCTAGACCCTGGTTCCTGTCCCACGCCACTTCTGGGCACCTGGCCTCTCCTTTTGGAGCCAACTGTGTGCACCACCCCTCCAGCCTCTTCAAGGGCTCCCCTACGACCGTGCTGGTTCCAAAGCCCCCTTCAGCCAGGTCACCCCAGACCCCACATCTCTCCTTCCCTTTTCCCACCCTTATTCAGCCCTCTCCCCTTTCCACTGGGCCCCAGAGTGAGGACAGGACTTCTCTGGCTGTCTGGCTGCCCTTCAGGCCAAGATGAGGACTGGTAAAGAGAAGCAGATGTTTCCATGATGGGAGGCAGAGGGAGTAAGGAGGAGGGCATCAGAGGGTGGGGGATGGGTTTCCTCGCCCTCCTGACCTCTGCCCCAGGGTCCACAGGCTCAGGGGAGCTCCTGTGGCCCACAGTACCCGACTCTCCTCTTACAGAGCTATGAGCACCCTCACATCCCTGTGAGTATGATGGGAGCAGGGAGTGAAGGCCACAGGAGAGAAGGAGAGAAGGGTATTCTGGAACATCTGGAGGTCCTCCAGCCCCAAACAGTAGGCAGGGTCAGGCTCCAAACCCGCCCCCCACCGGCTACACCTGCCTCCTAGAATGACACTGTCATCTTCCCATACCCCAGAAATGGGTCTGCAGCCGGGCCGCAGGGACCCCCCCAACCCTCCCTTTTCTCCCCACCAACCCACAGCTGAGGAGGAAGGGCAGGGAGGGCCAACCACCTCCTGCCCCAGCCAGGCCCAACCTGAGCGCCTGGGTCTTCCCCACCTGCGTCGGAGAACCGGGGCCAGAGTCAGGGACCCAGCTGGTGCCCAGAAAGTGACTCCTAACATCTCAGAGCAGGAATCTGATGCCATCTCCCGTCCCAGATCAAAATCGCCTACTCAGCAGCCGTTCCACAAGCATTTACTGGGGGCCTACTGGCAGGGAGGCCGTGAACAACGGGAGACCCAGAAGGAGCAAACCAAGGTCCCTGGGCCCCAGGGGGTTATGATGGAGGAATGAGTCAAGGTCAATCATAATCAGCACTGTGCAAACCAAAGGACAAACCAGGGGCTGAGTGGGCTGGAGCAGGAGAGAGTGATGCCCCCAGCGGGGTGGGAGCATCCGGCCAGACTTCAGCACCCAGTTCCTGCTCCCCTTCCTTGCTGTGCTCCAGCCCCACGGGCTTGCTTTCCGCACTCAGGACCGCTGCAGTGGCTGTTCCCTCCGCAGGCAGTCAGTGCCTGGGATGTCTGTATGGCTAGCTCCTCCTCAATTGGGTTTCCATTCTCATTCCACCTCCTCAGACAGCCTCCACTGCCACCCCAGCACAGGAACCTATTTCTATTATCTCCACAGGACGAACGCTGCTGCTTTGCTCAGTTGTCCGTCTCAGTCACTGCAGAGTCTCCCATCTCTGACGCAGAGCTCAGCACTAGTAGGGCTCAGCAGGTAGTTGCGGGATGGAGGAAAGGAGGACTCATATATGCACGGGCACAGGGCAGGAGGAGAGCTGGCCAGTCGCTTGGAAGGAGGTGGAGAGGACATTGCAGCTAAGGAGCTGTCCCTTCCCTTGCAGGGTGCAGCCAAAGTCTGAGGGTTCTTCCCTACGCTGAGTCACAACCCGGACTCCAGGAACTCCCAGCCCCGGACCCCAGCTCTGCTCCGGACCCACCCGAAACCTCCTTCTCCTCCTTCCTATCAAGCATTTGAGTCTTTCCTTAACTAAACCCCTCCTTGTAACAGGACACGGCTGACAGGCCCTCTGCAGTCCCGCTGGCCTCCCGGGCATAAGCTCTGTATTGGCCAACGTGCCCACCCAGAAATGGGCATATTACTATTGTTAACAATAACAGCAGCTAATATTTGTTGAACACCACGTGCTAGATACATTACTAAGCACTTTACGTGCATTTTCTCATTTCAGACTCACAACACTGAGAAAGGGTTATTATGAACATTTTACCAATGAGGGAACTAAAGCCCAGAAATGTTAAGCAACTCACCCAAGATCACACAGCTAAGAAGCGGCAAAGCTGGGATTAGAACCCAGAGAGCCCCACCAGGGAGCCCAGGGCCAGCTGTCCCTCTTCCCCAGTTGGACCTGTTCAGTGGGTAGAGGCCTCAGATTGCACAGCCAACACCAGAGAGCAGGTGGGAAGCCCCGGGCCCTGGGTTCTGGGCTTTTGAGCCAGGCACTGACCCCTGAGCTGACTTTCTAACTTCAGGACACCCTTCAACATTTATAAAACAACGCATTCATCTTGTTAGTCTTGGTCCATCCTTCTGCCCAGTTGCCATCATTTGGGATCTTGATGGTGTCATACCTCTCAGCCCTCGGTCACGACAAAGAGATGGCTGGCTTCCCTCATAAGTCTTCATCCAAGTCACTGATCCAAACATTCACTGGAGTGGGTCTAGGACCAGCCCGCAAGCACCGCTGAGCTGCTCTCCAGGCTGTTATCTGCCCCCTCAACCCATCAGCAGCCTTTGGGCATGACTGTTGCGAATCCACCTACCTCTGTCCAGCCTTCCTTCCCCACCATGCTGTGAACACTAGCCCCAAACTCAAATTCATATTCACTGTAAACCACGGTAAATGTCGCCTCTGCAGAATTTCTAAGCCCGGGTCGGCTCCTGACTCCAGGAGACCCTCCCCAGGCCCGGTTCCTCCACTCAGTCCCAGGAAAGGGTTGCCCCGGGCAATTCTGGTCCCGGCTCGGCGTCCTGGCAGCTGAGCTCCCCAACTCCTGGAACCCGTTCCCCGCAGCTGGCTGGGAAATGGAAGGAATTTCTCCAGCCTGGCCACCTCCAGCGCCCCTCGCGGGCCAAACCCCACCCTTGGCGGGCTGGGGACAGAAAGCGCTGGCCGCCGCACTGGGGGCCGACTCGGAGCTGGCAGGATCAGCTGGGAATCCAGTCCCTGTCCCCGCGCCCCGGTTCCCAGCAGGACCCCCAGCGGGGCCTAGCCGGCCCCGTGCATCCGCGGAGACCCCACTCTTCCCGGGCCTCTCCCGGGGACCACCGCGCCGCCTCCCCGCACGGCCCGCTCACCTGGCCCGGCGCGCTCGGCTGGCCTCTCCGCCCCCGCCTCCCGGGGTCGCGCGCCCGAAGGCGGCAGCCGCTCCTCTCCTGGGGGCCCATGCCGGGGTCGGGGTCGCCGCGGGGCCCCCGCCAGTGCCGCCGCCGCCGCCGCCTAGCGCTCCCGCGCCGCGCCCCCGCCCGCAGCCCCCCGCCCGCAGTTCCGGCCGCGCCGCGCCCCCCGCCCCCGCAGCCCGCGCCGCCCGGCCCGGCCCGGCGCGCCTCCCCCGGCGGGCACCGTGACGCGCGCCCATTGACGTCTCCGGAATCCCGGCGGCGGCGGCCGACGCAGCCTCATCAATGGGCTAAAAATAGCGGCGCTCGGAATAGTCGCGAGCGCCCCGCCCCGCGGCCCCCCCCACCCCCGGGCCGCACACCCCGTTACATAATCCGGCCTGCGGCGGGGAGACCGGGCTCGGGGAGCTGTTTTGCAGGGGAGGGTTTTGTGGCCTGGCTAACACCTTCCGAGGCGGCAAACCTGGAGCTGGGTTATACTTAAATTTACCCGGGGCTTCCCCTAAGGGAGAGGTGGAAAAAGTGAGGCCCAGAGACGCGCGGTAGCGGCCCGAAGTCACACAGCAGTTAGGCTGGCTTGAGGGACAGGGCCCCCGCCCTCTGAGCCCTGGGCACCCCCACCAGCATCGCTTGGCCTGCGTGCCATCCCAAGGGCAAGGAACCCAGCTAGCGGGGTGCCCAGCTTCCACACAAGAAGGCAGGTTAGAGAAAGAGGACTTCTTGGGAGGGTGAAATTTCTCCTGAAGAGAAGCGTCCCTAGAGGCAGGTGTGCAGGCAGGGGCCAGGCCCTGGTGGTAGAGTCACTGATCTGGCTGCTCCCATACTCTGTGTGACCTAGGGCAAGTCACTGCACCTCTCTGAGCCTCAGTGTCCTTACCTATAAAATGAGGATGCTAATAGGATCCACCTTTTCTGCTTATCGGCAGGATGGATAACCGGTGCAGGTGCCGTGTACACAGCAAGCACTCAGTTGTTCCCCTCGCTCTCCTTTAGGAGTCTGACTGCCCCCATCCACAGAGGCTCACCACAGTGGCCAGGAAGCTGTGAGTGGCCCACCCTCTTCTGACGAAAGTTCCAAGCACAGGCCTCCCCAGGAGGAAGCTTGGAAGGTTTCTGCCTCCCCCCTGACTGGAACACTCGGTGGGAATGGGAGCACTGTCTCATCCTGAGCAGACCCTTCCCTGACAGCCGCCTGCTCAGGAGTGGCTGGTTCAGGCAGGCCAGGCCAAGCTGGAGCAGTGGGGCCGGGATCTGGCTGAGTGGGGTTGGGGTGACAGTGTCTGCTCCTGTACCCATCAAGCAGGACCAGTCCTGCGCTCGGCTGCACCAGCCACCAGCCCCTGCTCGTTTCTGGAGCCACCTTAAATCACCAGCAGGCTGTCCAATGCCGGCACCCAGGCCAGGCCCACGCAGCCAAGAATCTCCTCTGCATTCGAAACTCCTAAAGAGGCCCCACACCCCAGCTCAGCCCTCATTCCAAGGGCCACATTCCTCTCCCCGGCCCCCTGTCCACCCCCAGAAATCCTTTTCTGGACCTGTCCTAAACTCCTACGGCAATCGGAAACCCCTTTCTCTCGTTCCTCATAATGATCCCAAGAATCTCTGGCTTGTCTCAAAATCAACCTCTCAGAACCTTGACATTTCTCTCCCAGATTCAAGTCTTAGGCTGATCTAGAGACAAAGAAACCACGGCTTCAAAAATGGCAAAGTGGGGGTAGCCCTGGGCCGGCTGCTTCCTCCCCCACCCGCTCTTCTTCCTACCCCAAGACTTCTTTCCAAATGGGCTCTTTAAAGAAGCCACTACCCCCTCTTTTTCTTTTTCCAGAAATCTAACTTTTGAAATACATTTTTAAAATATTTGCCTGTGTAGGAGAAATACATTTATTTGGACAGGAAGGATAAAAAAAAAAAAAAAAAAGGCTCAGTTACCAGTTTTTCCATGAAGGCTTCCAGCCCACAGAGGTCTCTCCCTTCTATAAATACGTAAGCACAACTTGGCTTTATTATATCCTGTCCTGTTTTATAATGAAGTAAAACCTATATTAAAATATGTAATGCTAAAACACACACACCTGTGTGGCTCATGACAGCAGCGTGAGGCACGAGAGGGAGCACAAGCTCCAGAGGCCTGAGATTGAGACTGCTTCCAACCATTTCCAACTGTGTGACTTCAAGGAAGTTACTCACCTTCTCTGGGCTTCACTTTCTTTATTTGAAACCTCAGGATGACAACATATCCATCTCACAGAGTCATCATGAAGAGTGCATCTTTTTCTCTTATTTATTTATTTATTTATTTTGAGGAAGACTAGCCCTGAGCCAACATTCATGCCCATCTCCCTCTATTTTATATGTGGGACGCCCGCCACAGCATGGCTTGATAAGTGGTGTGTAGGTCTGCGCCTAGGATCCGAACTGGCTGCAAACTTAACTGCTAGGCCACCAGGCCGGCCCCGTGAAGAGCGCATCTTTGATAGCAGATAGAAAGAATGCAGCAAGGAGTCTGGCACGTAGTGACAGACCTGCCATTTCCGTGCAGGAGGAATTGGGGGAAGGAGGGCTGGGGACCTGGTCTTGAAGCTGTACATGCATAGCACTCACCATAGCTTTGCCCAGCTGGTGTGTTTATTTGGGGCCTTGAGGAGCTGCACAGATGATGGGGCCAATGTCACCTCTTAGAGTCATTACGGATGTCCCGTGAATTTCAACACCCTTATTGTCTGCTTGATCCAGGTCACTCAGCTTGTCAGTGGCCAAGCCAGGACCACAGACCAGAGCTTCCGAGTCCCAGACCGGGGCTCTCTTTTCAACCCACCGTCTCGTTCCTTCATACCTTGCCCCTCCTCTTTCTACACAAATTCCAGGAACGACAACACAGCCCCTACTGCAGGTAGGAAAACCAAGGGGAGAGGAGGTCAACTACTTGCGTGGCCGAGGAGCTGGGACTAGAGGGGAAAACAGACACTGCGGCCGGTGCTGTTCCACATCCTGGGAAGTTCCTAAGGGAAAAGGACAAGATCTTCCTGCAGAAAGCTGGCTCCTAGTCTGATTGGGAGGCAGGACACGAGAACAGTTATAAAAACATGGCCAGAAGGGCCAAGAGGCAGCCTCCAAGAGGCCTTGAGCTGGCATTGGGGTGGAATCTAGAGGGTTAATCTGACAGGCCCCATGAGAAGAAGGGAACATGGGGCACAGTGTGAAGGGAGAGCCAGGACCAGGCAAGGCAGAGAGAAGGGAGGGCCTCGCCTGGAGGAGAAAGGCTGACCCGAAGCTCATAGGTATGGGGCAGAGGCAGGATTGAGGTTCTGGGGATGGAAAGCCCCAGGACCCACGACAATCAGCCAGACCCCTAGTGGTCCTCCCCATATGGCCCTCCATCTCACAATGGCAGAAACCCTTGATCCAACCACACCAGTAGTGGAGGCACCATTCCCTCACTGGGGAGCGTGGGGGAAAAGGATGTCAAGGGGGTTCCCCTGCCCATTTGGGCCCAAAAAGACCTCCCTTGCCCAGGCCTGGCCCTCGATGAGGAGAGGGGCTGTGGCGGGGATTCCCTTCATGATTCCTTTCTTTATCTTGAGGATCAAGAAATACTCGACCGGGGTGCCCCCACCCCTCCCCAGGTTTAGGAGGAATTAAAGGGAAAGAAAGAAAAATGGGGGCACAAAGACCGGACCTTCCTGGGGCTGTCCCAGGGATCAGGGGCCTTCCAGGGACACCGCCCAGATGGGGTTACATGCTCTGCATTACATAAGGATGAGGCGGCCGGCTGGGTGCTTTTTCGAAGCGCCTCCACATTTGCTCTTCCCTCGTTGCCATGGGAGGCAGTCAGGGCCGGCACGAAAAAGCGGCCAAGGTCACCAGGCTGGAGGTGACAGCTGAAATGAACGCCAAGATCTCCCCTAAACGCAAGCCAGGCTCTTTATTAAAAACAAACAGAAATCTTCTGTAACTCATTTTTTAAATTGCAAAATCAAACAGGCTCGCTGTAAACAAATGCAGAACCGCGTGATTTACGAAGTGAGAGGCCGGCCCGGCACTCCCAAACGAGCAGACTTCGGTAATCCTCCGCTGTCTGCTTCCAGATCGCTCTCCACGTCGCCAGACATCGGATCTGGCCCGGCGGGCCCTGCCCGAGGGGCCGGGCCGGAAGGATCAGGCAGCCCCCGCCGCCCGCCGCGCCTCGGCCGGGCCCCCTGCGCGCTCCCGGGGGCGGCTGCGCCGCGCCGGGTGGGGCCGGGGAAGCCGCTACGTCACGGGAGGGCGGGGGCCCGCGCCGGCGGCCGGGGCCAGCCAGGATTCCATTACCTCACCAGGCGGCGCCGGGTAAACGCTGCTGCAAGCCATTGGCTCCCGTGCCGCCCTCCCAACCAATAGCACGAGAGCATGCAAATCAGCCACCGCCGGCCGCTTCCCTCGAGTCTGGCGTATGCAAATAGACGTCTTTGCGGGATGAGGAAGAGGGGTCTCGAAATCAGCAGGGGCTGTTTGCGGCCTTTCTGTCGTAAATCTGGTCCAGCCAGTCCTGAGGGAGATGGAGTGTCATTAAGGGTCAGCGGCCTTAATTCTTGAACTGTCTTTCCAGTTAGATCCCAATTCTTAGAGATTCAGTGAACCTAAGAAATGGTGCAAAAATTATTTAGGTCAACTTGGAAATGAGAGCAAGGAAGAAATAAGACATAAAGACACAGAAAACTGGAATGTGCTTTGGAGAACACCTAGGTCAACGTCCTCGCTGAGGACACAGCAAAGAACAAAACAGATACAGCTCCTTCTCTCCTACCCGGCTCCTTACAGCCCAGTAAGGGAGACGGATGTGAAACCATCTTACAGATAAGTACTAAGTGGCATAAAGAGAAAAGGAAATGCAGGATGCCAATGAGATATTCAATGGGGAGTTGTAAATTAGACAGGGGTGGTAGATAAGGGAATGCTTCTCCAAGGAAGCAGCTTTTTTTTTTAAAGATTGGCATCTGTTGCCAATCTTCTTTTCTTTTCTTCTCCCCAAAGCCCCCCAGTACATAGTTGTATATTTTAGCTGTGAGTACCTCTGGTTGTGCTATGTAGGACGCCGCCTCAGCCTCCAGGATCTGAACCGGCGAAACCCTGGGCTCCCAAAGCAGAGTGCAGGAACTTAACCACTCGGCCACTGGGCCTGCCCCAGGAAGCAGCTTTTAAACTAAGGAGTGTCTGTGGGGTGGGGAGTCGGGGGAAGAGCCAAGTGTTCCCTGGAGAGGAAGCAGTATGTGTGGAAGCCCAGAGGTGGGAAAGGGCTTGATTCCTTCGAGCAGCAGAATAAGGTGAGTAACTAGAGCCCAGGGACTAAGGGAGAGTTTCGGGACATGAGGCTGGAGAGGAGTCCTGGGCCAAATGTGTGCTAGGCTCTGGCTAAGTACTTCTCTTGCTTTGTCTCTTCCTTCTTTCAACAGCCCTCTGAGGTAGGTACTGCTTAGTATTGAGGGAACAGATGTCACACAGCTGAGAAATAGCAGAGCGGATTTGTGTCCGGGTTGGTGTGGCCTCAAAGTCTGTGCCTTGAACCGCTGGTCATTGCCTCCCAGATTGGAGTCTGAGGTTTGGAGTGGTGAAGTGATTTGCCCTGAATGTCATGGCTTGCAACAGAGCCGAGCCCTGCAGAGAGGTCTGCAGATTTTTCACTGTGCTGTGAAAGGACACAGGGACAGGGAGAGTAGGGAGGGCATGGAAAGAAAAGGTCCTCTTTGCCCAGACCTTGGGGTTTGCTAGAACTTAGGGTTTCCTGGAGTGGAAAGAGGTAGACGTTTTTAAGCATCTGTCTCTAGGGGTGTGCTGCTGGTCAGCAGGCAGCCCCCTTGGAGGGTTGCTGGGCCTGGCGTGCCAGGGCAGCCCGGATTAGCTGGATCTTGCGTGCTATCCCAGTTGCCTAGTGATGCTGCTCCTCCGGCTCTCACCAGGAGAGCCAGCTCTGGTTACGGGTGACAACTCCCCGGGGTTGGGGGTGGGGGCTGGAGAGACATGGAAGCAGGCGGGAGGGCACGGGAAACCAAGCCTCTCTCCGTCCAGGTTTACCTGGCAGTGGGGTGGGTACCCCTTAGCTCTCTGGCATACCTTTGGGGCCTGTCTCCCCTGTGCCCGCTCTATGGCCTCAGAAGTCCAGGGCGCACAGGCACATGGGGAGGGTGGCAGAGCCAGGGGCAGGGCCTTTCCAGGGAGTGCTGCTGCAGGCGTTTGGAGGGGAGCCCTGCCCTGACAGCTGAGCACCGCGAAGAGCAGCTCTGCCCTCTCCACTGGGCGTCACTGTGTGTGGGCACCTCCTTGGATCCAGCGGCCCTGAGGGTGGTGACAGAGTGGGCTATGACACAGGAGACATGCGGATGGAAGTGGAGTGCAGCCCTGGACTAATGGAGCCTGCAGCCTTGTCACCCTCCCCCCCGCCCCCTGCCCCTGCCAGCAGCGCCCATCCTGGCCCTCATTTCTCTGGCTCTCTTAGCAAAGCTCCCAGCTCTCCCTGGTGCTGGCTGCAGAGATCCCACAGTACTTTCTCTGGCAAGGCTCTGGCTCCCAGCACCCAGGGAGGCTGCAGTGGGTGTGGTGAGGCTGTGAGCTGCCCTAGCCACTCAGGCTTCTGAGTGGGATGATCCTTCAGACACTCGCACCATAAATGTCCAGACGCAGAGTCACTTTGGAACTGTCCTCTGCAGGCCAGGCAGAGCCTCCGCCCAGGGAGGGCCGGGTAACCTGAGCTGCCAGCAGGCACTTCAGGAGGACCTCAGGTCACTTCAGAAGGAGTCAGCTGATGCTCTTGGGGACCATTCATCATGCCCCCAGCCCAGCCCGGCACAGCCATGGCTATTTCCAGTCCCTAGGTATGGGGCAGCTTATGTAACAGGCTGGAAGCCAGGGACTGGGCTGGGGGCACTTGTGACAAGGGATAGGGCTGCTCCCACCTTCCACTGTGAGGCCAGCCCCTCAGAGCCCCGGTTCTTTCTGTGGAGGACTGTGCATGGGGGAGCTCACAGGCTGGGTGTGATGCTTGTGGACAGCCTGGTGTCTACCAGCACACTTTGTGCTTCCTCCCTCCTAACCTGGCCCAGAAGATGGCTCAGCCTCCTTCCTTCCGTTTGAGGCCACCGAGCAGCCTTTCCTTGGTGGCCTCACCCACTCAGCCCAGTATGGCCTCCCCTGGCCCCTCTGTGAGAACCCTGTACCCATCTTGACGCCCCTTCCTAACTCTGGTGGGGACCGGAAAGCATCGCTTGGTGGTGAAGCAGGTTTCAGATACGGTTATTCACATCATGGCTTTGCAAGCTCACTGAGCCTCAGTTTCCCATCTGAGAAATGGAACCATAATATCTCCTTTCTGGTGTGGTTGTGACTATGAGGGCTTAGGAGAACATTCCGGGAGGGCGATTGCTCAGTCTATCTGTGTGGCCTCGGGCAAGTTATTTCAGCTCTCCGTGCCTCAGTTTCCTCAAGTGTAGAATAGAGGCAGTAATACTACCCAGATCCCTAAATTGTGAGGACCCGGTGAGTTTCTCTGCATAAAGCCCTTCAACGGTGCCTGGCACAGGCAGCACCGTCTAAGTGTCAGCTATAATTAGACGAAGTTTGCAGATCATTTTCCCCAGCCTTGGCTCCTAATAAGCTCTTGGTGAAAGGTACTTGTTATTTTTAACCTCTTTCTCCTTCACTATTTTAATCCCCCTCATAAACCCACCTTCAGTCCGCCTTGCATTCCCTCTAAGCTCTCCTCTTTGGTTGCTAGTCTGCTGCCACGGCCAATAAAGGCATGCATAAATTATATTTGTCTGGTGTTTACATTCGCGGAACATTTCACACCCTGCTGTCTGGGCCTCCCAGCGAACCCGTGAGCGAGCGCCGAGGCCTGTGTCACTGCCCTCATTTTGTAGAGCCCAGGACAGGGTGTGATCTGTCCAAAAGCATCAGCTGCTAAGGGGTGTGTCCAGGGCGCCCGGCAGGGTATTCCGACCTCGGGCACCCGAGTGCAACGGAGGATGCGGCCAGGGCATGCCAGCTCCGCGCTGCCAGGGCAGATTAGCGCGGGGGGCCCTCCTGCTTCCGGTCCCAGCCCGACTGAGCGCCCACAGAGCGGGAGGAGACAGGCCTGTGGGCCTTATAAATATCTCCCATTCCAGCTCCAGCCCTGGGAGACCCCAAAATGCTGTGTGGTGGTGCCCTCTACTGGACGGAAGTGGCCTCTACTGGGCTGCTGCCTCTGAAGGGAGAAAGGTGAGCGGCGGCGGCTTTATTCCCATTCACACAAAGATCTATCCAGAGCCTACTACGTGCCAGGCAGTCTTCTAGAAACCACGGAAGTGGGGGAAAAAAACCTCAGAAACTCCCCAACTTCCACGGAGATACATTGGGCGGCAGGCACACAGATAAAAACATACACAACATAATTCCATGTAATGCGAAGTGCTATGAAGAAAAACAGAGCAGGTAAGTGGCTAGAGAATGACCGAGGCTGCTCATTACAAAGGAACGGTCACAGAGGCTTCTCTGAGGAGGCCACAAGGAGGGAGAGATCCCAGGGAAGAGAGGGAAAGGGCCCTTATCTGGGGAAAAGGCCAGGGAGGCTGAGGATGGGCTCCAGGGCACCGAGAAGGGGAAATTCTGGGTGTGCAGGAGGAGTAATGAGACCCATGTGGCCAAGAGCAGTGTCGGGGAGAGAGCGAGCTCAGAGAAGATCTCGCCCTTTCTTAGCGTGATGGCACATGTGGAAGGGAGAACACATGGAGGAGGGAGCCTTGCATGCTCCAAGAATCACGCAGCTAGAGAAGAGTCCTGTTCGAAACACAAGCACAATAACATAATCAACACACACTGAGCTGGCTATGCCTGGGGCCCTAACACAGCCTGGCAAGTGGGTTTTCCTGGCATCATCGCCATCTTGCAGATGAGGAAACTGAGGCTGAGAATGGTGGAGTTACGTGGCTTGCCCAAAGACACAAATATCAAGTCACAGAACAAGGACTCGAATCGGGTTTGTGTGACTCCAGAATCCAGGCTTTTAACCATGACTTGTGCACTGGGAAAAAGAAAAAGGCAGGACATAAACAGCATGTAAAGTATGGGTGACATTTGTATTAAAATACACAAATACGTTTATATATGTAGAAAGGAAGACTGAAAGGCAGTACATCAAAATGTGATGCTCTCTAGGGATGAATTATACCTCTCCTTCCACTGTGGCCCTGGGACAGGGAGAAAGATGTTGCCCTCCCCCAGAAGGCGGAGAGAACGCCCTTAGCATTAACAACCGCCACGTCTCATGCTCAGACGCTCCCTTTAGGGTAACAAAGTGTCTTCTTTCACGGTCCTGCATTTGTCTTCACAACTGCTGTTTCCCAAGGAAGGAACCCGAGCCTCAGGAGGCTGCGACACTGCCGCAGAAACCCTGCAGCATAGCTGGGACCGGGACCGACATTTACACATCTGAGGTCCTCCAGGGGTCAGGTCAAGGAAAGAAGAGAGATGGCTGAGAGGTCAAGGAGGGTCTGAAACCCGGCGGCCCAGGGGGCTGGGCAAGGACGCGACGACGGGGAGGTCGAGCAGTTCCCGAGTCTTCCCAGCAGAGGGCGAGGCCGCCCCGAAGCTCCGCGAGCCTGCCCAGGCCACGCCCCCGCCGCGACCAGCCCCTCAGGGACCGGGATGCCGCGAGGAGCCCCTCCCTCCGATTTTGAAGGGCCTGCGGGGCGTGGGGATGGAGGGGCGGTGGATGGGGTAGGGCAAGGGAAGAAGAGAGGACCCGCAGGCGAGGTTGCCGCGGAGACGCTGTGGGCGTCTACGATGGGGTCGAGTGTGCTGGGGCGCGTCTGGGGCCGGGAGAGGGGGCTGGAGCGAGCGGGCGGGCGGGCGGTGCGGAGCGGGGGTGGGTGTGTGCCAGGAGAAGGGCCCGGCGTGGGCGCGGGAGGCGGCGCCGCGTCTGTGGGCCTTCCTGAGGCGGCGAGATTTGCTGCTCTGGGAAAGTGGTTACTCACTCAGCTTTGCCACCTGCTTCCCTCCCAGCTTCCAGTCAAACACAACGCAGAGTCCCCATCTCCACCCTCACCCGTTAGTGGCGGCTGTCCCCCCCGCCCCCCGCCCCAGGCTGGAACCTGCCTCTGCACTTCAGCCCTCAGCCTCAGGGTGGGCGAGGGTGGGGAGGGGGGTGCCCAGCCGACTGCCCTTGGTACACGGGACTGGCACCCCCACCCCCACCTCCCTTCAACCAAGTCCAGAACTTGAAGGTCAATCTTGCAGCCGTTTGGCAGCTCAGCTCGTGGGGCTGCTCCCCCAGCACCGCCACCAGTCAGATCTCCCCGTGCTGACTCCCAATACCGTGTAGACATGAACCCCTACTCAACCCCAGCCTCCTCCCCCGTCCCCTCACCCTTGGGCATTGGCTACACCCAGTCAGCCAGCAGGTCCTGGGTTCTTGTATTGTGTCCCCACCCCCAACTCCAACCACATTGGGATCACAGATGTGTCCGATGGGATCTGCTTGCCCTCCAAGAGCTCCCACTCTGTGGGGGAGACACACATACCAAAACTTACAGCAGGAAGCAGAAAGTGGTTCTGTCCCGGTGGGAGGCACACATCCTCCGCTTGCTGAGAATGCCAGAGATGACACGACCTCAGGGGGGGCCTGACTTCTGTCAGTATTTGGAACACCAAGGTTCTAGGTGGGAGGGAGCTCAGAGCTCTCTAGAATCATCTTCATTAAACATCCATCACTAAATCTTTATTGAGCATCTGGGGCATTTTTAAAAATACCAGTTCTCCAGCGCCCCCCAGAACTCCTGAATCAGAATCGTAAGGGTAGGGGTAGGATGCTGTCTGCCGTTAAAGGCCCCCCAGGCGATTTGTTGCTGTGGTTGGTAACCACTGGCCTTGCATTCACTTCACCAGAGACCACATTCCTCGGAGAGTGTGGAGTTTGAGCCGAGCCTTCAATCAGAGCGAGATTTGGAGAGCTGAAAGTGGACCTTGGTGGCCTTTCCCTGGTGGCGGGAGAGGGGTTGCTGAATGGACCTGCCAGCTGGGAGGGGGGCTGATGAGTGACCGTAGGGAAACAGCTGGAAAAGAGGCCCAGAGGGGCCATATTTGCACACTTTTTACCTTTTGCATAGATTTGTGTGTCTCTATTTAAGACTGAACTCCAGGCACGGGACATTTCCTGAGGTTCAGGAGGTCTCCCTTACGGCAGCCATCCTTGTGTCCTGCCGTTTAGCGAGTGTGCTTCCTCCCCGCTCCCCTGCATCCCCTTCGCACTCCTTCAGACCATGTGGGCTTCCCCGCAGAGAAGATGTGTTTGGTATCTTCTAAGTTCTGAACTCGTCCGTTCATTCGTTCAGACGTACCCACCTTCCCTCAAGGCTGTCTGAATGCCCACTCAGTGCCAGGCACAGCAAGGGCGGCAGGGAGCTCCGGCTGGACTGTGCGATTCAGAGGAGGCTCCACTGTGGGAGAGTCGGGGCAGGCTGAGAAGGGGCTGGAGGGGTGGGCTCTGAAGAGGGAGAGCTGCCTTCACAGCTCCTTGGCGGATGCCGTGCCCTACCTCTTCCCGGGCTCCAGCTCAGGGCTGAGAGGTGCGGTGTCCTGAGGTCCCCACCAGGGGTCAGGCGCGCCCGCTCTACTCTCCAGTGTGCGTCAATCTCTTGGCTGCTTTATGCTATAGAGGAGCCCTCCGTGGTCCCCTGCCCTCTCCACGGCCCCGTGTTCCTTCCTCTCTCGCTTCTCTCAGCTCATCACTCACTGCTTTAGGTCATCCCATCCAGCCGTCAATGCAAGATCAGGCAGGCTCCCAGCTAGATGGCCTGACGTTTCTCCTGACTTTTGGAGAGTCCCCGAGCCTCTCTCACTTCCCCAACCTCACGAGTAACTGACTGGTGAGCAGAAAGTGCCTTCTGCTGTCTCACCTCTTCTCCTCCTGCTGTCATTCAGCTCAAGTTCTTTGGTTTTGTCTCCAGGCAAAACGGGAGTGTTTATGGGTTCATTCTTTCTCACAGGTTTTCTTATGACGTGTCAACAAAGCTCTTCTCCAAGCCCAGGCCCCTTTTGTGGCCCCCAGAACCCATTCCTAAGAGCCCCCCCCACCACTTTGATGGGAACGTTCTCACCTTACTCCAGGACAGCAGCACCCACATCCATGGAGCCTTGATCCCTCTGAATACCTTGATCTCCTCCCCCTTTTGCTATCTGGCACATCCCAGACCCTGCCCCCTCAGCTCCCACCTTTCAGATACCCTCCTGGCTCCCTCCCACCTTCCCTCCGTGCAAGTGAAGCCCCCAGCTTTGAGAGGTTCAGCTCCTTTAAATGGTTCCTTACCATCTGGACCCTGTCCTCACACACCTTCCTCCAGGAAGCCCTCCCTCTCCCCAGTCTAGGCTCTGCCGGGGACCAGCTGTGCCACCTTCCCCTCTATAACTCTCTGTTTCTTCATCTGTAAGATGGAGACAGTGATACGGGGCTCTCAGACATGCTGGGGGGCCTGAGCTAGGTGATGGATGTGAAGTGCTTAGCACAGTACCAGCACATGGGAGGTGCTCTGGGAGAGTCCCCTGTCCTTTTCTTCAGGTGTAGCTGCCACCCCTTCTGTCCCCCACCTCCAGCCTGCTGGTAGGAACCTGCCCTTGTCTCTGTACCCTGGCTGCTTCCTCCTCCCCCGCCGTCCCGGGGCAGAGGGGGAAGAACCGGGACCCAGGGGCATGCAGCCACCATGCTGAGGAGACGGGGGCTGAAGCGGGGTTCCGTGGGGACCTCACACCAGAACTCCACCTGCAGAGCTGTGTCCTCACTCTACCATGCACAGTGGAGTGGAGTCCCCTCTCCTCCTCCCTGGTATTATTGGGGGCACCTTCTGGCCTGAGGGGGGAAGGACCCCCACAGAGCCCCTATGGCTTTGAGAGGAGCAGAAGGCTGGTGGGAGGTGACGGAGGGGCGGCAGGGCAGGGGAATACCGACCACACAATATTCCGAGCCCCTGCTCCTTTCCCATCCACCCCCACCCCTCCACCAAACACGATCCCTGGGTTAATTTTTAGCATCGCAGCTCGCACATTAGTCACTCCCTGTCACCCACCTACACGGCAGGAGGCTGCTGTGCTGGTGCCGTCATCCCATCAGCTGAGAGGTGGGATCCAGCCCCGCCCTGGGCACCCCCTCACCCTCCTCTGGGTGCACACAGCCAGCCAGGAGCCCCCTTTGGGTGAGGGCTACTGACCTCACTCCCAAGATTAGCTGCATGGGGGGTGGGGGAGGAACAGGCTGGGAATCTATGCCCGGAGGAGAAAGCCAGGGAGGCCCTTGCAGCCCCCCACCCCCAGTAAGGTGCTATGCCCATGCAGCCGGTCTCCTGGCAGCCCTGGGCTCTGGGAACAAAGGTGCGAGAGGGCCCCTCCCCTAGACCTGAGCCCTGGGAGCTGTTGTTTGTCATCGCTGCACAGCAGCTGTTCAAACACAGAGCGCGGGGAAGCTCCATTTTCTTAATCAAATGTCCTCCCTCCCCAGGACCAGGGCGGGCAGGGCTGCCAGGTGCAGGTGCCCCGCTGCAGCCGACACCCAGCCCTGAAGGGATTGCACAAGTGGGGTCCACAGATGCCAGCTACAGATGGAGCCAGGGAGGGGCCTCCTCTCCCTGGCCCCAGGGCTGAGATGTGGGGAGGTGGTGGTCACCCAGATCCAGGGTGGCCCCAAGGAGGCATTCTTGTTTATTGAGCACCCTCGGTGCCAGGCTGTTAAGCCCTGGAGATACAATGTAACAAGGCTGAGTTTCCTGCCTTAGGAAGGCAAAGACAGATTCAAACCAAGTCACTATAATTACCAATTGGAAGTAAGTGCTATAAAGAAAGAAAAATAGAGGGCTCCAGATAAAGAATAACAGGGACAGGGAACTACTGCTGATCAGATCAGGGATGTTTAAGCTGAGACCTGAGGATGGAGGAATCAGTCTTGCAAAAAGTATTTCAGGCAGAGGCAGGAGGAGCTGGGCATACTTGAGGAAGCGGTAGAAAGAATAGTGTGGCTTAACTCTGATAAGTGACATGGAAGGAGAAAAAGTTTGAGCTTGAAAAGAGACGCCAGGACCAGAGCCTGGGGGGCCTCTTGTATGGCATCCCAGAGTGCTTGCAGAGGTTGTACACTGCACAACGGCTCCCAGTTGCCAAATTGTTGGGCCTGTGTGATTGCTGTCAACCCAGAGGAAGAGATGCCTTTTTGTCATTTGTCTACCCAGACGCACGACATGTTATGGATAGGCCATGGTCAAGAATTTGGGTTTTATTCTTTTATTCCAGGGGAAGCCATAATGGGTTTTAAACAGTGATCTGATTTCCTTTTTGAAAAGACGGCCCTGACTGCTGTGTGGAGAAGGGATGGTCCGGGGGCGAGAGAGGAAGCAGGGAGCTCACTCAGGAGGCAAGTGCAGTGGTGCAGGAGGGAGCGGGTGGGGTTTGGCCTGGCTTCGGGCAGCTGCCACCTAGACCTCTCTTACAGCATCCCTTGTGTGCTGGTTCCTGCCGGGGAGGAGCACTGGCGCGTGAGTCTCGAGTCTCAGGCCCAGCTCTGCCACTTCCTTGCTGTGACCCTACAGAGGTCACTTGCCCTGAGTTACCTCAAAGAAGGTAGGGCCCACCTCTTGCAGATGCTCTGAGCATGTGCTGTACAGTATTTATTGAGGTTCTACTATGTGCTAATATTGGGCCAGAAATCAAGCAGCAAATCAGACAGAAAAGGTCCCTGTGCTTTGCTGTAAGGCGCGTGCCTCTGAACTGGAGGGATGGGCACAGAACGAAACCCAGAGAAGTCAAGACAGTTCCAGA